GGGGGTTAGGGGAGGTTGGTTTAATCTCTGGCTGGGTTGCGTGTGTTTGATTCCCTGCCGGGTTGCTGTGATTACGGACTATCCGAGATACGGAGGGCGTGGAGCTTGGGGCTAGAGGGGGGGGACTCGGACATGGTGGTGTGATGATCATGATGATGCCAACAGGACTTATCTTGGGGCTGTCTTACGAGGCAACGGTCTACTTTCGATCTTACTCAAACACCAACATTCAAGTTGAACATGTCAGGAACGATTAAATTCTATTGTCAATGAGCATATAATTTTAACTGCTCGGTTTCATTGCCGTATATGGCGGACCGGCTGCCGGTCGTATATATCATAGAGGACGGTACTCGATACCGTCACGGTCGTTCTCATCATCGGTCGGCCCGCCGCGGCGTCGGCTGCCCGTCGTGGGGATCGGCTTCTCCAGCCGGAGCACCCACAGCAACATGTCCTCCAGCGGGAGGAGGATCATCCAGATGCGGTTGCAGAAGAACGAGAAGACCACCGAGAAGGTGGCGACCACCGCGTCGAGCCAGTAGTGATTGGCGGTGGCGACGATGACCGACAGCACGAGCATGGGGTAGACGACGCCCAGGATGACGAGGAAGATGTCCCGGAGGGTGATGCGGGCCGACCGCTTGCCGAACAGGCGGTGGAAGACCCCGGAGTGGTAGAAGAAGGTGTTGCCGATGCAGAAGGCGTAGGTGAAGTGCAGGCTGGGCATGGCCGCCAGCTGGTTGACCATCTTGCCGCCGACCCAGACACTTTCCGCATGCTCTTGCCGGACGGTGTCGTGGAACCCAAAGGATTCAGGCAGCAGGCGGGGCGGCATGAGGGGCCAGAAGCAGAAGATGATGAAGGCCATGAAGTTGCCGAGGGTCATCGTGCGGCGAGCGATGGCGTAGCGCTCGAAGTCGGGGGCGGCATAGTACCACCACGAGAGGTAACTAAAAAGCACATTAGTCCTCAAACGTTCCACCGAATCATCACCAGGAAGACCTACGCGACCGTTCCAGGAATGTGGACCAGGGAGTAGATGCGGTTGAAGAAAGTCATCCAGTTCGGATGGCCGTTGATGAAGAAGGCCTGGAAGTCTGCCTCCTCGATGGGGAAGAAGATGCTGAGGAACGAGTTGTGCTCCAGGTTCAGAACCCCGATGGCATGGTCCTGGGCAAGTTGTACGACGTCGCGACCGGCGGGAGACAGGGACTGGGCCACTGCCTTGGTGCAGGAGTAGAAGAGATAGTTCATGACCCAGTAGAACATCTCAACCAGGAAAGGGAACTTCTGCAGGATGCGGCTGTGGAAGTGACGGGCAAAACGAGACGAGTTGGGCGTCTTGACCGTGAACCACAGGCAATTCCGACGCTTGGGAGGATAGTTGTTGCCGACTCCGGGGCCCGACTGGAATTGTCCATTGATTTCCCCTTCCGATAGATTGTCAATCGAATCGTTCGCCTCTTCATCTTTCATGTACAACGGATGCGACGACCCTAGATCCCGATTGTTGTTCTTGCCGAAGATGCTGAAGTCCCTGCGACGGTTGAAGTATAGCGAGCTAAGCATGATACTGACGACTATCTGAGTCAATAAATTAGTACGATTGCTCCAAGTGACAGTGTAAACAAATGAAGCAGCACTCACAATCGGCTCAACCCATGAGTGAGAAGCGAACTGGGGCTTCCCCAGATCGACCGAGGTCGATTCGTTGCTCGATGCCATGGTGAGTTCCAGCGAGTGTGTGGTACAAAAGATGAGTTGAAGAAGGGAAACCGTTGTTGAGTTCCGGGCTCAAGCGCCTAGCATCGGCGTTCAGATGCGGTTTGCGTCGATCCTGTGCAATGTTTCCTCCCGAAAAGGTACGTGTCGCGTGGTCTACCCCTATTCGCAGGAAAGACCCTTGTCGCAGCTAGTCTCCGTTCGTATATCGAAACGAAAGAGAAGTATATACAGAAGTCGAATGAACGGATGCAGGGCTCAAGACGCCAACGCCAACCGACGATGCTGGTGATGAAACGGTATGTACAGGGCGCTTTGTGTTCACGGGCGCAGGGACGTCGGGAGCATGAAGCGAAGCCGAGTTCCACAGAATGACGAAGAACACGCGAAGAAAAAGAAGAACGAAGGCGGAGACTTGGATGAAAGATCGATGGAGAATGAAAAAAGGAATAAGGGGGGAGAGAGTGGGGTCGAGTAAGGGAAGAAAAGGTGGTGGTGGTCGTCGTCGTCAGCAGCAACTCGAGAGAGAGCAGAGGCTCAGAGAGGCCGATTGCTATTAGTGATTCAAGATTCAAGAGGGCGCAGGAGTTTGAAGGCGGCGAGTGAGAGTCTGGCACTACTTGGGACTAGCCTTCCGGACGGCGCAGTTGCCAAGTGGGAATCCTTACTTGGTATGATTAGACACTAATCCAACTAAAACCCCTAAAATCCCTAAAATCCCTAAAATCCCTAAAATCCATCGGAACCCCTGTTCCACTCCTCCCTTCCAGCCTCGCCAGTTTCCACCCAAGCCTGCTTTGCTCTCAGACACAGCCCCCCCACCCACCCACTGCGAACGTGAACGTATACGAATACGGCCGTGGACAAAGCTGACTATGCCTTGTGATCGGTAGTTAGCGGTTTATGCCTTTCTGACGGTCGGACAACACAAGCACAAGTGGCTCAGTCTCTCGGTCGCGTGCCCGCAGGATAGTCGTGCAAGCCAACCTCGAACGGTAGAGCCGTTGCAGCCCTGATTGATTCTTTGGCAGGGGGTCGTGGAGAATGCGACTGAGGCAAAAGTTTATTTGGGACAGCCATTGACCTCTCATCGCGAGCAGCCACCGGAGGGTGGAGCAGGAAGACTTGGATCATGGTAAACATGCTGTTCGACTCTGGTCACTCGAAGTTTGTTCTGAAGAGACCACCCGGCCGTTGAGCCACCGTGAAGACCCTGGCCTCTGATTCTCAGACTCGACAAACCCGAGACACAAAGTGAGATGGATTCATGCTTATACGCATTATACTGAAGTTGTGCGCACACCTTACTCCCTAGACTCAACCAGTGCCGCCGGCGGCGCAGACGCCTTGCTAATCGCAGTCTAGCCCCATCTCATCCACCTCGAACGTTCTCAACATGAGCACTTGGCTTTATTCTCCCGACCACCGGAGGATAAAATTATGCACGCCGCAGGAGTCTCAGAGAATGTATTAGAGCCAAATTATGCCGCGAATATGCAGCTGTCTGGCTCGGACCATTCATATTCTCCCGAACGCCACAACCCAAAAGATGTTTCAAATCCGCTTACTCATGCTCCCGAGGCACAGGCACTAACCAGCTGCAGTTAGTCTTGATTCTGATGCGGGCAGAAGCGAACATCGCAAGCTCTTCCATTTCGGACGCAACTAAATGCGCTACGGTAGGATTCAATCATGTTCATTGAGCATACACGCTATTGTTCTAGTGATTCGAAAGTTCAAGTCAGAGCTGATCGAGGGCAGCCACGACAGCCCAAGGCATGGTATATCTCATGCCGTACTTCGACGTTCTGCCAAACTACCAACAAAGCCACAACAAGCGGCAATCAGATCAGGGCTCAGCGCGACAGTGGCTAGAAAGAGTGTTGGAAAGGCGCGCGACAAGTGCAATAGCTGTTGTAGAAGTAGTTCGCATTGCTCGTAGAACTACTCTATGCTGAACAGTTTTGTGAGCACCGCTGGCACACATCTGGAGGTCGCGATAATAAGAGACCCTCCCCCAGGTTGTTTGACTCGTATCGTGATAGGGCAAGCTCCATGGACCGAGGACGTCATCGGGCTGCGACACAGCATTCAATAAAGGCATCGAACACAATGCGGAGATGCGGCCGTGTGGTGAAACAGGCCTTGAGCGCCTCAGGCCCGTTGTCGACAGCGAGGAGAATCTGCCCCGGGGAGACCTCCAAGGTCGGATTGTGGGACAGGAGTGTCACCAGGAGTTCATGCGGGTGATGCCGATTCTCCAAAGCTGCGGTCACCATCTCTTCAGTGACAGCGGGGTCGGGCTGGCGAGCAAGAACCATTTTCATCACCGCGGCCGCTTGGCGACCTTCCCCTTTGCATGCCAGCAGTACGAAGGCATCGTCGAACCTTTGGGCCGGTCGGGCGAATATCCCCGCCTTGCCCGCCGCTTTCGTGAAGCAGGCCTCGGAGAGAGGAGGGTCCGGCCAGCGGTCCAGCATCAATCTTAGTAAGTCGGGATCTTCACTACAGGCACGATAAGTTGTTGGCTCGGGGACGGAGATTGTTCACGGGGCTCGCTGGAGCAGCTCTTGCAAGATCTGGGTGCCGACAGCCCTAATTGTCCGTTGCAGCTCCGACCACACTCTCCGTGATTGTTCCGGGGGAATTGGAAGTGGTCACAGTTTAGAGGATCACTCCGCTATCTTCAGCCTTTGTCGTAGCCATAAGATTGGGTGTCAATTCAATGGAAGGGGCTCGACTCATCAGGAGTTATCGATGCGCGTCATTTTTTCTTTTCAGGACGTTGGTATAAACCTCGCCGGAAATCACCTGTATGGCTCGATGCAAGATTTCTTAGTGGGATTTGATCAACTGAAAAAGTAAGAGGCGGGGAGAAGAAACATAATGTGATGACTCGAACGCTGGAGCCGAAAACTCAATTGAGGGATGGTTCCAAAGGAAAAGTGAAGGGGAGGGGGTGTGGATGACTTACTCGAAGGGGCCATTCCGACATGCAGCGTATTGGACCAGTGGTGAAGGCCAGCTTCAGTGGCATTGTGCAATGTTGCTTTCTCTCTCTCTTATGGGAAGTGGTGCTCAAAAAGTCACCGGTACTATAAGAACCGCCCTACCTCCATACAAGTGAGGAACAATGCCATCACTGGAGCCAATGTTGACGATCGTTCCCTTGGCCGGAATAATGAGGTCGTGCAAGTGGTGCACCATCCGCATCGGTCCAAATAGGTTCCCATTGAACATGCATTGGACGGCGCTGGCGTCCGTGTCGATAGCCGTCATCGTATACGCAATGATTCAGTCAGCTTGCTGGCATCCAGCTGGTTCACGTCCGCGCAATGCACCAGGATGTCGAGGTATTCGCCCGCGAGCTCCCGGATGCGGGCTTTGAGCTCTACCACTGACCCCTCGACCGTCACATCGAGGGGAAAGAAGGTGATGCCTTTTGCGGACAGATGCTGGCTCGACGGGTTGGGCAGAAGGGCGACAATGAGATGAATGCCGTGGCGAGCACATTCGGTCATCACTGGGCAGTGCTTCGCCAATCCCACCCTGGCCGCATCAAGATGGGAACCAGTAAGCATGGGGGTGCGATGAGTAAAGGGAAAGATTGACTAGAGGTTACTCGGTGACAAGTGCGAACTTCTGGGTTCGTAGATGACATGGCGTAGGGTCCTGAGACGAGGAAGGTTTCTGAGAGTTCATCACGTACAACAGGTAACAGAGTTGGGGAACCAATGTTTTCTGGAAGATGGTAGGAACTGCAGTGCCTTTTGAATGGCCTTACCATGGCATTCGAAAGAGGGGAAAATCGGAATTTCCCCAGTGGCTTTTCTTGAGGCTTCGTGCAACCCTTTTGGACTCTTCTAGACCAGGCCATTTCCTGAGGACTTGCATTACTGGGGTCTGTCGGACTTATCTTTCTTCATCTTTTTTGACGGCGGCCTTGAGGCCTCGCCCAGGCTGCCGCTCCCCTCCCACCTCGGTCGTTCTTAGCTACTATACTTCTCCAGATAGCCTCACGCAGCAGAATATCCATCTATCTTCCATCTCTCTCGCAGGTGTCATCACTTTACTTTTGGGTTTTCCACCCGTGCTTTTTCCCTCATTGGTCTATTTCCACGGCCCAACCTATCACAATATATCTCACAACGGGGCATAGTCAAAACATCATATCTGATGCTTTCATTCGAACAGGATCAACTGACCATGACAACACCAGGCTACTTCACCATGAGCGTGAATACGTATTTCAATCTCAGCAAGACCCTTTACGCTGTTGTCTTTGCTATATTCCTCAGCGGGGTCTGGACACTGAGCAAAATCGGCCGACGACCCAAAGCGTTGCCCCCTGGACCACCCACGCTCCCGATACTGGGCAACCTGCACCAGATCCCCTCCCAGAAAAGTCACCTCCAGTTTGAGAAATGGAGTCGTGAATACGGTCCTATCTACTCTCTCGTGCTCGGGACCCGCCCCGTGATTGTGCTCAACTCCGCCCAAGCCGTCAAGGATCTCCTCGACCGACGCGGGGCAATCTACTCCTCTCGGCCAGAGAGCTACATGGCTCAAGCCGTGCTGAGCGGTGGATTGAGAGTACTGTTCATGGTGTGTGCTCCCTGCTTCTTCGCCTCTTAGGTAGGGTGCTCATTGAGCCATGACAGGACGATGGCTCGACGTGGAAGACAGTTCGACAGCTCGCGCATCGCATCCTCAACGTTGCAGCGGCGCGGACCTATGTCCCGTATCAGGACCTGGAGAACCGGGCCATGCTGAAGAGCATGCTGGAGGTGCCAGCGCATTTCATCAATCACATCCGCCGCTATTCCGGCTCGTTGACGACGCAGATGGCCTTTGGGTTTCGGACCACCACTATCGAGGATCCGAAGTTCAAGCAGACCTTTGATGTATGTTCCTCACATGTGAGATTACAAAAACGCGGGACAAGCAGGCTAACTAGGCCTGTAGATCTTCGATCGAAATTCCGAGATTACTACGTCCACGGTACTGTTACTGTCTTTCACATGATCGCGACCGTTGCACCCGATTGCTCAAGCTAAGCTAATTCTCCACCTTTTCGTCAGGCCGCGAGCTTGCTAGATCTGTTTCCCATCCTTCAATCCGTGCCGGATTGCATGCTGCCGCTGGTCCAGGAAGCGAGGGAGTTGCACCGCCGGGAGTGCCAGTTGTTCCGAGAGTACTATCTGGACGCCAAACGAAGACTCCAGGATGGCACGGCCAAGGTATGTTCATCCAAAATTTATGTAAATTCCTCGCTCTTACGGACGAGCCATCTAGCCCTGTGTATGCGTCGACCTGGTCCGCTTGCAACAAACCGAGGATTTCTCCGACGACATGGCCGCCTACATCAGCGGGGCGCTGCTGCAGGCGGGCTCCGAAACGACCGCCAGCATCCTGGTGGGCTTCATCCAGGCGATGGTGATTTTTCCTAACGTCGCACGGGCCGCCCAGGCCGAGCTGGACCGGGTCTGCGGCGACCGACTGCCCGATCTCAACGACGTGCCGGAGTTGCCCTACATCCGCGCCTGCGCGAAGGAGACCCTTCGATGGATGCCCGGCTTCCTGTTGGGGATTCCGCACGCCACGACCCAGGAGGATACGTATCTCGGGTATCGGATCCCCAAGGGGGCGACGGTGATTATGAATGTCTGGTAGGTTTGCTCTCCAGCTCCTCTTGGTGCATTTTAGTAAGCACCAGAGGGACTAATACTTGAGCTGGGAAAGAATTAACAAAAGATTTTCACAAACAGGGCGCTACACTCCGACCCCGACCGGTATCCCAATCCACGCCAGTTTGAGCCAATGCGCTATATCGACGACCACCAGACCTCGGAGGAGGCGGCCACCAACGCCGACGTGCTCCAACGCGATCACTTCGTCTTCGGGGCTGGCCGCCGCCGCTGCCAAGGCATGCACATCGCGGACCGGTCGATGTATCTCGCCATCTCGCGGCTGCTGTGGGCGTTCGACCTCATGCGAGTCATCGACCCAGTCACCAAACGGGCGGTGGTGCCCGATCCGGATGCGCTGGTGGAGGGTCTCATGGCGATGCCTAAACCCTTCCCAGTGAATATCACCCCAAGGAGTGGGGAGAAGGCCCAACGCGTCCGGGAAGAGTGGCAGAAGGTCCGGCCCATGTTGGATGAGGCGGGTCAGTGGAAGGCTGTCCCAGAAGGGTTGATCTGGAAGGATGAGGTGGAAACTGTCTGATATGACTCGACATCTTGATGGGGGGGGGGGGGTGTCGAAGTTGAGGACTATACTAGGTTGCATGACTGTTGTGCTGTTTGGGAAAATTCATCGCTGCCAGATTGGGAATCATCTCTGCCATCAGTCCCGAGTAAGAGGTCGTAACTCCGCCTAGCGATTGCAACATAGTCACATTCCGCGTGTACTCGCGTGTTGGATTCTGCAGTCTCGCCTGCGTGATGATGGGTCGGCCATCCAATAGTGGTCACACTAGGAGATGCACAACTCTTGATGCACGACTGTTCACGTTCTGCGAGAGAGAGAAAAGTCAGCTCAACAACGCAATCTCTCGTTGAAGGCTCGAAAGGCTTAAGTGTCTTAGCTTTCCCCTACAGCAAGATTTTGGCGCCCATTCTGCTGGCAAATTTTGCAAGTACTGTAATAATCGACTCCGCCGTTTTCCGCTGCGTCAGTGACTGGGCCTGACGACTTAGAGTGTCGGCTAGGAGTGTACGATACATATATATGCGTTTCCATTATCATTCTGCCTTGCACTCTCCAGAATGTCCCGCTCGCTAAGCAATACGGCGCATGAATTGGGCATGAATCCCCAAAGTCTCCACCACAACGAGTCGTAAAATGGGACAAACCTACATGCTGTCGGCGTTCCTGAGTAATCCACCCCACGTGATCCCAAGGCCTTCACCTGTTGTTTCGACGCGGACGACCTAGCTAGTTCCAACAACCAAGAACCACCAAGAATTCAAGAACTTGTTTCAAATAGCCCACCTCTGAGACTTCAAATCGCTGACACATGCCTTTTGGAGGCTTACAGATGAAACTGGTTGACTAATCGCTTATATGCATCTCTCGCAGATGGTGAAGTGGGGGTGGGGGTTTGCTCATAGGGAACCAGTACTTGCCCAGTGTTCTTACTTCTTCCTGTAAATTACCCTGCAGCCATATCTCCCATCCCTTCGAACATGCGGGAAGTCGTTGAAACGTGGGTCGGCCCTCTCACCCGTTACTTGAGAGGATAGACTACGGCTCACTGGAGAGTCTCTTTCTTGACGAGTCGTACTAGAGAGACCATCTTGCTGGACGTCATTCTCAGATAGAAGGATACATTAGTCTTGTATAATATGGAGAAGGGTGCATCCACAGTTTTCAGAAAACCAGACGAACAAGGCTGTCCGAGGTAGTACACTTTCAACGAAGTGTACATCTCCTTGGTCCGTCCTTAAAATAATCTCTGGCACAATTCAAATATCTCTTAGATGCAATACAAGATGCAGAGTATTTCCAAGAGTCAATCAAGCTTTCCCGTCTTTCTATTACTGCTCTCTCGGTTCAGGTGCAAGAATGAAACACCCAAGTCATGTACTCTCTGCCTGAACCAATCGTTCTGGCTGATAGGATTAAAGTGGGCTGTGCACGTCAAGTCAATAGAACTTGGTGTTTGGTGGAAGACCTTGCTTTTGATCCTTTCTCTATCTTGTGTTAGGCTCCTCGCTACCAAGGTCAAGATTCCGAGACATGAGACATACCAAAAGATCCCCAAAGCTCTGCGCTAGGTCGGTCTCAAATTCGCAGTATTCTCCCGCCTGAGTAGCCATGGTCTGAGCATCTGGATAAGTCATAGCAACATCGAAATCGACCCACACAACTCGCTCTGGGTTTCCAGGTACAACGAGAATATTCTTGGGATATACGTCATGGTGAAGAACATGAGCCCTATGGATATTGTCTAAACCTCTCATTGCAATCTCAAAGCGCTCGTCGGAATAATTTAGGCAATTGAGCCCTTCTGCATCAGGCAAATACTCAAGCAAGACTGCCTTTGGCTTGTAAACGTCATTTTCGAAATGATTTAGATGGGGGCGATAAGGTGTGCTGGATCAAGTCCGTCGAAATAACCATAAAAATACGGAACCACGCCGTTTTGACACACCCCATGAAGTCGCAGGTTTTTGCAAGCCTTCAATTCACATTGGAAACGATTCAGGTCACGACCCTTCTTCGAATAGCCAGGGTCGCCATTATCATGGTACTTTTAACTTGGTCAGTATTCGTCTTCCAGGTGTAGGGTCGGTCGGGCACTGACCACTTTCAAGCAATATCGATTATTGTTATCACTGTTTAGCCTCACTTTATATATGGATGAAGCATCAGAAGATAGAAGTAGTTTGCAGATCGTGAATGCGTTAGTGTTAAGATAGAAAGGATCTATACAGGTGTTGTACATTTCAAAGGTTCTTGAATTCATGACTTATAGGATGAGGTTAACAGGTCATCAAGCGAGATACCCAGGGACTGTGGATAAGAATGGTAGTCATTTGCCGCTCCCCGCCGACTTTGTTAAACGAAACAGTGCCAAGTCTCCGTAGCTAGTCACATATACAAATCAATGTGTAAATTACCTACTTTATGGCATCCAAAGAGAAATACTCAGGTGCTGTTACTTCTGCTCATGCTGTTCAAGCCTTCGGGTAGGCACCTCGGAGATAGCCCTTATTCAATGCTTTCGTGACTTTCAATCGCTCGCTGTAGGTGCCCTATTTGTAAGATATAACAACCACATCACATTACTCCTACCGCTTACCTAGTAGCCTGCGCGTCTTTCCTGAACAGGAAGCGGGGTAAAGGGCATTTACACCAACCTACGGTTCGTTCAGAGCGAAAGAGCTTATGTATCACCTTCATCCTTGAAAGATGTAAGATTATCCCACAGGAGTGCAGAGTAGTTTATTATATCTAACAATTATCGCTAAGATATTATTTGAATGCTTGGATACTACAACAACTATCCTTTTATTCAAAAAGAAAAAATACTTCAAATAAGAGCCTAGGCCAAGTCCTACAATGACTCAGATTTCTCAGTACTGTATAGAATATAAGATACTGTTTGAATGGATCCCTACAATTTCCCGTTCACATCAAGTCCAATATAGCACCACTTACTACTTACTAAGCAGCCTAGAATAACTAACACAGTCGTCTAAAAGTATGAACATCTTAAACAAAGCACATGACTCTGACTATAGCTCAAATTTTCACCGCTCCGTGAGTCATTGCCTCCATACCGCAATGCTACTGATGAATGACTCATCCAGTCACACAAATCTCAAACCTGCTACCCTGGAATTGGACCATCACACTCACCCGGCAGTTCACAGTTTCAAAAATGACGCCCCTCAGTCCACCACCCGTACCATTGGACATCCAATATACCCACGCCTCGGACCTGGCTGCCCTCGTGCGCGTGGAGATCCGCTCGTTTCCGGCGTCCAATTACATGCGCAGCACATACAAGGGATGCGATCCGGGGGCCGTCCACACCTTCAAAACCGTCTCCGCCCTCGAGTACTTCGCCAACCCCGAGTGCCATATCCTGGCGGGCGTCCTTGGGAGGACTGGTGACATCATCGCCTACGGCCGCTGGCATATCCCGGCGGTGTATGGGTGCGAGAGAGCCGTGGGCACCGGTCTGAGCAGCGACGCGCAAGCGCAGATGCGGGATGCGTGGGCGTACGCCCCGGAGTTGGTGAACAGGGGTACCTACTCGTTCTACGAGGAGATGATCACGCGGAGTAGGGGCGCTCATCTCAGGGAGACTGATTTTGGTTCGTTGATCCCTTACATTTTTGCTACTCTGTTGAAAAAAGGTTAAGGAAGTTTATGTCAACTCATTCTGCTACGCTGTGTGAGAATTGGGCAATATTGACGGCTAGAGATACGGTTAGTCCTGGAGCTGCTGTGCGTCCTGCCGGAGTACCAAAGGATGGGAATCGGGAGTGCGTTCCTCGAATGGGGCATCGAGAAAGCAGACGCCTGTAACGCCCGGATTTACCTGGAGGCGACGATGGAGGGGGTGCCGGCGTATTTGAAGCACGGGTGGGAGGTCGTCGAGGAGGTAGAGCTGGATCATAGCGAGCGTGGTGGGGAGGGGAGTCAGAGGTTCGCGTTGATGATTAGAGAGCCTCAGGGCACTGGGTTGGCTTGATTGAGAATGGTTCTATCACCATAGACCTACTGTTGGATCGGTTGGCTTAGATACAGGTCTAACAGAATCGCCTTTTATATAATCTACTTTGAATAGTCCTCGTGTTTTTAGCCCTTGGTTACCTCTATTTATACGCATGTATGACCTTTTATCAGAACTTCCCAGCTATTACACTGTCTCGTTGTATCATGGAGTATCCTGACCCTCTAGGCTGATCCTCTCACCCCCGGTCTGATTGTATGTATGTCCGTGTCTCGATTTGCTTTCCATCAAGCCACCCCCCCGAATCTCCCCCACTCACGTACTTCTCCTATGCATCTCCACCACAAAAGAACCTACTCCTCCAGTCCACCAACCTTCTCCCCCCTCCACCACAACCACGTCACCGTAATCAACCCCTTCAACCCAACAGCCGTCCACAGCGCCCCCTCCAACCCGGCCTCACTCCTCGCCCAAGCCGCCCCGATAACGACCCCCAACAACAACCCCACCACCGCGCCCACCCGCCGCCACTCATCGGGATTCCTGACCACCTGCACCCAGCCGAACCGGTGCAGCACCGGCCCCGAAAACAAATCGCAGTAGATACTTGTCAGCACGACGGAGGTCAACGCCGAGAACCCCAGCACGCGACTGGCGACCGCCTGCCCGCTACTCTGCAGCGCCACGAGCGCCAACGGCACGGCCACCGTCCACTCCAGCCGGTCCTCCGACTTGGCGGGCCGATACACGCTGGTGATCGTCGCCGCGGCCGCGATGCACGCCGTCTGGAGGGCGAACGAGAGCGCCAGCGCCCCGCGACTTCGGGCCAAATGGCGATGGCGGTGAATCCCGGCAAAAAGCACACTCCCCGCGCAGAAGCTGCCGATCGAGAGCAGGGATTTCTGCCACCGCGCCGTCGCGTCGAGCCCCGTCAGCCCGAGTCCCGCGTACACGGTGTTGCCGGTTTGCATGGAGACGAACGAGCCCCAGATGAAGACCGCCGTCGAGTCGAGCAGGCCGGTGATTGTGTAGCAGAGCAGGAGGAGGAGGTCGGTCCAGCGCTGCGTGAGCGGCGTGGTGAGGTGGGCGTGCAGGCGGGTCAATTGGGTGTTCGTTGTTGTTGTTGGTGGTGGTGGTGGTGGTGGTGGGGTGGTGTTGGGGTTGTGCGTGCCTCCTAGGAGGGGGTCGCGTTCGTGGGCGGGGAATTCTTGGTAGGGCATTGTGTTTGGTTCTTGGGGCATTGGGGGGAGAGGGTGGTGGTGGTGGTACTTGTGGGTTGGTTGTACTGGGTATTCGCGGAGAGGAGCGTGACGGGACCTGAGGCCTGATGGTGGTCAGTGTTCCTGCCGGGGTTGGGAAGTGGAAAGAAGGAAACACCTAAGGTCTGGAATTGGACTTGGGGTAATGATATCGCATTCAGGGGTTTGCCGGGTCCTGAATTGTCGAGTATGGACAATAGGACTGATTTCTAGTGCAGACAGACACGCTGCGTCGCGCTGCGTCGCGCTTCGTTGACGTCGAGATGATCCTATGACGTGGGTGCTCCGCCCTATAGGGCTGTACTTGATATGCCTCTAATCTCCATAAGTTGAGCTTGACTTGCTGGGCCGTCGGGGCTTAAACCGGTTCAAGTATACGTGGGCGTGCCGAGGGATTCCGAGCAAGCAAAGGGGAAAAAAAAAACGGGGCGGTCTCACATGGACCGACCAGGTCCACGGCGTCCGCCCCACCCTCAAAGGGATCCTGCAGACTGCAGCTCGGAAAACTCAATCCACCTGATCGAGTGCTGTTATCGATTCGTGATGACATTTACGCTAGCCATAAGGCATAACACCCAGAGACTAGTGACCCCTCATTGATGGATAGAGTGACAGCATATACAATCAGAAGTGAGGGATTCTTCAAGAAACGAAGTACTATATAGTATACATGTGCCTGATGACAGCGATGGTATTTACAAGGCTCCGGTGAGCCTAGCTTGCGTGGCATGCGGGGATGGCCCGTCGCTAGTTGGAGAACAGCCGTTGGAACCAGCTCATTTCCTCCCGCCGCTTCTTCTCCTTCGCGTTCTTAAAGCTTGCCCAGATGATTCCCGTGATATAACCACCAATGTGCGCCCAATGGTCGAGGGCAGGGGCGCGGAAGGTCATCGCCAGACGGACGACTTCAGCGGCAACAATGGTGGAAAGGATAAACCACCCACGGGCTGAGACCACTCCTTGCCAGTCCTCCGGGAGGAGGTAGAAGGTGAGATTGTCGCTGTTGAGAACATGATTAGTATGATGGTTTATCACGCGAACAAGAACGAGATGCATACTTTGCGTGGAGTATACACCAGCCTGCGACAATTCCAGAAATCGCTCCACTGGCTCCAAGTGCGGTGACAGTCCACTGACCCAGGAGGACATGCGCCGACAGAGAAAGGAGGGATCCGACAATACCGGAAGCCATGTACAAGCTCAAGAACTCGCCCCGACCGACCTCATCGTGCACTAAAGAGATGATGAAGATTAGTTCATCGAAGACCATGGCAGGGAGGCCAAGGACACTCACGTCGTGTGCCAACAAACCAAAGCATTACCATGTTGACACTCAAATGCAAGGGCTTCTGGTGGCTGAAGACATTGCCAATGATGCTAAATGGGCGAGGATAAGCGGCAACACTGATGAAGTAGCGGTTGAGCAGTCTCCAGGATGGTGGCCATGCCCGCCATAGAGCAAAGATTCCAACGTTGATACCGATGATACCCATTAACGTGGCGGCAGCGCGAGGAGTGTCTGGCCATAGCCGATCTGCTCGCGCGGGAGGTTCATAGAACACCGCAAAGGCATAGCAAAGACCCAGGGCAACCAGACTAAATATGAGCGAAGGCACGATCCGGCGACTCTATTCGCATCGTTAGACCACATCTCATGCAAGAGCTGGGGAGGAAGATTATCTGCCTCACAGGCAAGGTGAACGTACCGTTGTCATCTTAGTCACGTCAACGTCAGTCTCCATGGCACGAAGGTGGTGCTTCTGGACCCAGGCAAGAAGAGGGCGCTCGCGAGGATCCGCGCGCTCGCGGACTATATAGCAGTCAAAGTTTTAGCGATTAGCCATTCCTCTTCATCAGGTCACAAGTATTCTTACGTTCCAAAGCGGAGGTATCTTCGACCTTCTGCAGGGCAGTGTTCCGTTCCCTCATTTGCTTGTACTTCTCTTGATCCTGCGCCGCACCCTCCAACCACTCTTTGCGCTTTTGTTCGTCTTCGGCCAGAAGTCGCTCTTCATTACGCTTCCGCATCTCTTGGAAAACACTCTTTCCGGAGACATCCTTGTTCTCGCCCAGCTCGGCTTCGTACTGACCACTCTGGGGCTTGTAAAGACCTAACTCCTCGGCCCGCCTGATAAGCTTCTGTTCCTCTTCCAGCTCCTCACGCTCGATACGGGCCATAATGGCAGCATCCTCGTCCATGGGGTAGTGCTCGCGAAGGTAACTCAGGGCTGCATCAAGACTGTGCGGCCGCACCGAGCGACTGATGTCGACGGGGAGATCCAGATCCAGGGTACCATTAAGTCGTCGGCCGTGAAGCACGGCGAGGACCCGGTTTCCCATGGACTGGGAGACCTTGGCACGGGCTCCGAAGATGGCATTGATGTCGGCGAGCGAGAAGGGTTCTGGGCGAGGCTTTACACCATGGTCCACGGCAGGAGGCTTGCTGGAGCGGAGCGGGGCGGAGGTCTGGAACGAACGAGTGGGAACCGGAGAGAAGACGAGCGGGTTTCGACTGTGGCGGAGCGCGGATGCATCACGGAGGAAGCAGAAGGAGCGCGCTGAGAGGAGGTTTCTGTGGCGTGAGCTCGAAGGCCGAAGGGAGGAAGTCAGATAACTGGCGAGGGGGAGCGGCTTCGGGCTGACGGAGAGGAAGAGGCTCGAGGCCCTTAGCCCCGGGCATGGAGCGCGCCATGCTATGCCCAAGACATTGCTCATAGCGAGCGACAATAGTTGGAGACCGTGCTACCACAATGCAAGTTAATGACGCAGGCTGACCTGACAATGGACAAGTAGAAATCCCAAGGAAGCTGGGATCGGTCGATTTTCTCCGGCCGCCGGAAGTTGTTCCGAATGGGAATTCTTGGGTAACGTGCGCTGACCTGAACAGACCAGGACCACAAGAAAGCGCTGGGGACGATCACAACAAACACCAGTTTGCTTCCAGTGACTGATCTCTGAGATCTGAAGTTTCACTCCCTTTGATGTCCTCAACTCTCTGTGGCTCCAACAAGCAGCACAACACTTTCGCTATAAAGTAACATCGAACGTTATCGCAGTATCGTCACGTGGTGATAAACCGCCGGTATCATCTGTCGCAACGGGGATCAGAACAGACTACCAACTGACAGCACGCAGAACAAACAAAGCACTTCTTTCTTTCCACAAATCTTCCTAAAATCTCCCTTGCTACACCACACTACACCAGTGACGCGGCCAATACACCTATAACCATGTCTGGCGAGTCCCTCCCGATCTCTCCGGCCGCCTTCGCCGAAGCCATCCAAGAGCTACCCCTCCCCGTCCTCTACGCCAAGGTCTCCGAGATCCGAAATTCGATCGCCCACCTCCATCGCTCGAACGCAGAACTGCAGACCTTCATCGACGAGTCGTGTGAGAGTGACACTGAAAAGCGAGAGCTGGAGAGCTATATCACAGAGAATAAAGATGTGCTCACATCTATGATGGAAAGGGTCACGCTACTCAAAACGGAGGTCGAGAATCGCGGGCAACAGTGGATCGAGCTGGACGAGATAAAGGAGACAAATGGCGATACACATGAGGCCCCTACGCATTCAAGTCAGACAAATGCTGCCTCGACGAGGGAAAATGCTTCCGGGGATACACAAGGCGGGGGACAAGAGGAGGAAGAGGAAGGTGTTTATTTGTAGGGGATTTGTTCTTGCAGCTTGCATCGTGGACTCTCTCACTCAAAGGTTTCGATTCCTATGTTGAGAAAATGTTTATTGAAGTGATTAATTGGCCCATAGACTTGTATACCCAGGACATAGTCATCTTCAATACAGTGCTACTATCTAGTGAGGCCATATGCGCTTCTCTAGCGAAAACATACTCCCTTAGGCCAAATATGTGACAGAAACCACGGATAATCTGGCGCTACAGCATGATCGCAAGTGAAGCTCAATTAACAAGCAGTTATCCATCAGATTCGGTGCATTTCATTGTCCAATCTAGGTAACACACTCGAGCGGGGAGATAGCTACCCTGCAAACACTGCAAACCTATCACGTGCTCCTGGAGCCCACTGCGTCATAGGAAGGCTTCTAGATCCCATCTCGCGGATGATGTCCGCCTGATCCCCGGCGCGTCGGAGTACATATTACCCCTCTGTACATACAGTCCGTGTCTTTGAATGGCAGTAAACACTCTTGCCCGTCGCTCAACGCGGCGCACTCAGAGTGATCGAAACCAACAGCATGGATCGAGTGAAGATCAGCGAATTCCCCAAGTCTACAGGGAAATGCTGGCCGAGGCCGAGGCGCGAGAGCCTCAGCTCCACGATGATGACCGCACACCAAAGAGACGCAAAATGGCAGGACGAACTCAGATACTTAGCGCTCAAATAGAACTTTCAAAGGCTCCGCCATCAGTCGATAATGAAGAGACCACCAGCCGACAGGTTCAGACGGTGTATGACTCGCCCTCGTCCTCGTCCGAAGAGTCGGACATGGAGTGGGAAGACATCAGCTTGCAGCCTGCAGTCTCCGAAGCGCTATCAGATGACTCGTCGATCCAAATCACCTTGGACCGACCACAAGATCGTGAAAGACAGAAAAGAGCACTTAGACGGCAGCCGATAACGGCCGCAGAGAAGCGGTTGAGACTTGACACCCACAAAGTCCATCTTCTCTGCCTTTTACGCCACGTACAGATTCGTAATAGATGGTGCAATGATGATGAGCTACAGGTATGTTCTGGTTCTATTATCGTTGGCACATGTGACAGTAGCATGCGAGAATAGCTTATAACGGCTCTGACTATCGTACTAGGGCGCACTCAAGAGAATGATATCGAAGCAGGTCATATCTCTGCTGCACCCACCCGAGAGTAAACCAGAGCATTCCAGGTCTACAACGTTCATAGACGGTCTGAACCAGCTCAGTGACGCATTTAGTAAACGATTCAAAGTAACAAAGCCCGGCCTCAAGCGACCACATTGGGCTCAGGGCCCGGATGCTCTGAAGAACAGAGTGGTATTACTCACCTCTTTCATGATGTAACTGTACCCTGGTTGACCTTGGACCAGGAAACGATCCTCTCTAATGCCGAAGTGTTCACCTCGCTCGAAGATTTCAGGCAACAAGCGAAAACCTTGCAAGGATCTCGTGATTTTGGTGCACAATTGTTCTGTGCTTTGCTACGTTCCGCAGCTGTGGAGGCCCGGCTGGTCTGTTCTCTGCAGCCTCTGCCCTTCTCGGGCGCCACTAAGGAAATGACCTCGAACGTATCGACAGGCAAGACATTTATCATGGCAGCAGACAGCTCGGAGAAATCCTCGGACGATTCAACACGGGTCAAGTCACGATCGGGTGTGCAGCGACTCACCCGGCCAGGGTTCAAACCACCACGTCCGTCGACCACTCCCAGAGAAAGTAGGCCATCATGTTTTTTCCTGACCGAAATGATAACATGCTAATCTCTACATCGAAGTCCCATACTCTCGAAGTCAAGAGTCGTCATACCCGGTGTTCTGGGTGGAAGCATTCAACGAGGCAATCAATAAATGGATCCCTGTTGACCCATTAGTCACAAGGTCCCTCGCGAAACCGTCCAAATTCGAGCCTCCTGCCACCGATCCGAACAATCTACTAAGCTACGTGGTGGCATTCGAGGACGATGCCTCCGCTCGAGATGTGACCCGCCGTTACAGCAAGGCGTTCAATGCCAAAACCCGCAAGTTCCGCGTCGAGTCCATCACCCGCAACGCAGCATGGTGGGATCGCGCACTTCGGGTCTACGAGAAACCGTTCCTTGAAGACCGCGACCAGTTAGAAGTCAGTGAGCTCACGGCCAAGACCGCCGCCGAACCCATGCCTCGCAACATCCAAGATTTCAAGGACCACCCCGTCTACGCGCTGGAACGCCACCTACGACGGAGCGAGGTCATTCACCCGAAGCGAGTGATTGGACAGGTCAGCCTCGGCAAACCGGGGTCTAAAACCCAGGTCTTAGAGCCGGTATACCGCCGGTCGGACGTCCAGACTGTGCGCAGTGCCGATAAATGGTACCGGCTGGGCCGAGATATCAAAACGGGCGAACAGCCGTTGAAGCGTGTCAAAGCCCGCAAACCTTTGGCTAGCGGACTGCCCGAGGATGATGACGAAGAGCGTGATGCACCACCCCCGGAGACCCCTCTCTACGCGATCTTTCAGACTCAGGTCTACGTTCCGCCGCCCGTTGTGGACGGACGAGTCCCCAAGAACGTCTACGGGAATTTGGATGTCTACGTACCTAGCATGGTCCCGGCCGGTGGGATCCATATCGGCCACCCGGATGCGGCGCATGCGGCTCGACTGCTTGGGGTTGACTTTGCGGCGGCTGTAACCGGCTTCACCTTCCAGGGACGCCACGGGACTGCTGTCTATACTGGTGTGATTGTTGCGGAGGAATATCGCGAAGCGCTTCAGGAGGTCATCGAAGGCCTCGAGCAGGAAAGACTGCATGACGAGCTGGAAACGCGGACCGCAGAGGTGTTGAGAGCGTGGAAGCACCTGCTCTTAAAACTTCGAATCGCGGAGCGGGTCAAAGGCTATGCAATTGAGGGCGATGATATCGACGAGGGTGCGGATGTTGGTCCAAGCGAGGAGGGCGATGGGCCTGTGGATGACGACATGGGAGGAGGCTTCATTCCTGAATTGGACGGAGAGACACCGGGAGATGGTGGGTTCATACCTGAACCGGACGCGGAAACAGCAGAACCGTCGATGGCAGGGGGCTTCCTACCGGAGGCAGACACAGAGCCACCAGACCCCTCAATGGAAGGAGGCGGCTTCCTCCCAGAATCGCCCTCACAAGGCCCCATGGACCTAGACGATGAGCCATCTACAAGCCGCAATGCTAGCATGTCGACTGCGCCTGCAGTGCCCCCACCACAGACCGCGATATCGGAATTCGACCCCGCCGCGCCTCGAGACACACCTCCGCATCCAAGCCCAGCCGGACCACCGCGCTACTCGTTAGTTGTCGTCCCGAAGGCGAAAGAGGAGTCCATCGAACCCTCACCGTCAGACAACATCACCAGCGAGGCCTCCACAACCCCGCGCACTGCTCAACTCGATCGACCCAATAATAGCGCACCTTCGCAGGAACCTCTCCCCTCCGCCGCACAGGACACCAGCAAAGCGCTATCCCCGGCCGAGAATGCGCCAGCCGACGCTCCTGACCCACTCCTAAACCCCGTACAATCCCAAGCCTCGGATCCCTCCTCACGCAGAGACAGTGAGACATCATTACTATCACAGGATCCGGACGACGAGGATGCGATTCCAGAGTGGCTCATGTCGGATTAGTCAAGATGGTTGGATTTTGGCCAATCGCGTCTGAGTTTCTGGACTATAGAACTATAATATCGTCATTTTCGGAAAGCCAGAATCAATACGTGTAGGGATATAGCGTCAACGATGATGAGTACATGAAATGCATGAATTCTGTAATTTCGATAACACCTTCGTGCTTCTCTACTATACAGCATTAACAACCCAACTTGAACCTGGATATGCAAATCCTACCTAGTCCGGAAGATCTTAGCACATTCATCCACAGTCTCTAGTTCGAGTGAAAGATCAGATCTCCGACCGTACGGCGGGGTCTATTATCCCTCCGAATCAAGTTAAACCAACCATCTAGACCTCTCTCAATCCATGTACCAGTGGACGAATCCCCCCCGGCTCCACTCACCCTCCCCCTCAGACTATCGTATTCATGCAGATTAGTATAAGTTAGCCCGTTAGCCTGGCTATAAGATCGAGTGCACTCGCTCCCCTGTAAAGTCAAACACACAGCGCAAAGAAACGATGTGAGGACCCGGGGAGACAGTTCGCATCCCATGCATCTATGCATCTATATGAAAGCTGGAGCTGCGGGGCCAGTAGACTAAACTGACTTGTTCTTGTTCCTCTGCCCCCCGGATCTTGGATTCAGTCATTTCCTCACACTCTTCGAGACTGACTACTTATTAAACATATTTTGTCCATTGCGTGCGTAAACGATGAAGATTCTATACGGTGCTTTTACGCAGCACTAACAAATACCATACCAAAGACATTTTACTCTACTTCCACACCGACCACAAGAACAAGAATACCAGAAATCCAATTTAATTGGTATATAAGGCGACCAGTCACCTCTCTCTAAGTACCCTGAAACCAAACCAAAGCAAATAAACACACACACACACACACATAACTAAAAGCAGGCGATTTCATTTTCATTTCTTTCGTGAAGGGTGGTTCGACTACAGCTTCTGACCAGCGGAAGCAGCGGCGACATCCTCCTCGGAACTCATGATCTGGACCTTGATGGCGCCGGTGCGGGGGTTGGCGGCGGTCTCGAAGGCCTTGAGGGCGTCCTCGAGGGCGAAGCGGTGGGTGACGAGCTTGTGGAGGTTGATGACGCCGTTGCGGACGAGGCGGATGGCGCGGGGCCAGGTGTTGCAGTAGCGGTACTGGTACTGGAGGTCGATCTCCTGGGTGCTGAGGCGCATGAAGGGGATGGTCATCTCGTTCTTGCCGACGCCGATGACGAAGACCTTGCCGCCGAACTTGACGCTCCAGATGGCCGAGCACACGCTGCTCTCGACGCCGGTGCACTCGAGGGCGATGCGCGGGCGGAGGGTGGTCGGGCCGTCGATGTCAAAGTTTGAGTCTGCGTCGTTGAACACGCGGATCACGCCGGCGGCGTTCTCCTCGGCGGACTTCTTGGTGTCGACCTTGTAGGTGCGGACGCCCGGCACGAGGGACTGCGCGAACTGCAGCCGGCTCTCGTCGATGTCGGTGATCACGATGGGGGTGGCGCCCGCGGCGTGCGCGCTCAGCAGCGTGATCAGCCCGATGGGCCCCGCGCCCGTGATCAGGCACGGGTCGCCCAGCCGGAGCCCGCTGCGCTCGATCGCCGCCAGCGACACGCTCAGCGGCTCCAGGAGCGCCCCGTCCTCGTAGCTCATCTCGTCCCCGATCTTGTGGCACCAGATCGCCGGGTGGTTCACGTACCGCCGCAGCAGCCCGTCCACCGGCGGCGTCGATAGGAACTGCACCCGCTCGCACCCGTTGTACCGCCCCGTCAGGCAGGGCTCGCACGCGTTGCAGATGATGTTGGGCTCGATGGCGACCCGGTCGCCCGGTTTGAGGGAGGTGACGTCCGGCGCGACGGCGATGATTTGGCCCGCCGACTCGTGGCCCAGGATGTGGTCGCCCGTCACGATCATCGGGCCGATGCAGCCGGCGTGCCAGAAGTGCACGTCGGATCTGGTGGTGTCGTTGATGGTTAGTTGGTCGAACTCTTCGCTTCGAAAGAAATGGGGCCAAGGGGAAAAGACGTACCCGCAAATTCCAGTGCTGCGGACTTGGATGGTGACCTCCCCCGGCCGCAGACTCTCGCCGCTCTTCACTTCCTCCAGCGTAGGCTTGGATTCCGCGACCCACAGGTCATGCTTGGTGTTGGTGTAGACACCGATGTTGGGCTTCTCGAGCGCGGTGACGGTTGCGGTGGCCATGGTGCTGAAGACGGGGGTAGATTGGATATAGGGCGGGGGAGTGAAGGGACGGTGAGAAGGAGGAGGAAGAGAGGAAGAGATAGGTTGAGGATGATGGCAAAAGAGCGGCGCAGGAAGCTTTAATAGTCAAACTCGGAAGGGCTTGAGCCCCTCCATGATCAGCATTGGAGCTGGACTGCAGACAGATGGGATCGAATGGAAAACAATGAAGTATGGGATGGAATGGATCCAAGTTGCCACCAATTACTACTCATGTATTTACCCGGTGGGTTTCCCGCCCAGCGGGGTTCTTTCCGTACTCTTACTTTTCCTGTACTACTACTATGTAACTATCTATCTATAGCTAGCTCACTACTCCGTATAGTTGACGATTCCAGTAACAAGGACAAGCATAACCGGAAGATTGTCTCAGCCCAATTTAAGCCTTGGTGGATTGCATGCAAACTGCTCGGTTAATTCGCTCCTGAACATCACTAATTGAGGGCATTGGGTGTTTATTTTCATTACACCCATGCCGCCGTTACAACTTCAGAATGTGACCCTAGAGGGATTCTAGAAGTTGGCCACTTTTGCAGCGAGAAAGAGAGAGAGAGAGAGAGAGAGAGACAGAGAGGGATGTGTGGGGTTGATGCCCCACTATGGCAAAACGGCAATTCTCCGGTGGCACCCCGCCTTTTTGGTTGTCATCCCGGAGGATTAATTATTTGTAAATATCGAGTTATCGAGTACAGTAACTCCTCCGTATTCCGTACTCCATTATCTTGACCCCCCGTTGTTGTGCACATGACCCAACCAGAGATGTACTCCAGGCTGAATCATGGATCCATGATCATCACTCTTCCCCCTACCGGATCCAGAATCGTCAAATCTATCCCGTCGATAATGAAGAAGAAGAAGAAGAAGAAGAAGAAGAAGAAGAGATCTATTGTATTTTCCCTCGCTAATATACAGAGTGCACCAACCTCGTCTACTGCTATCTTCATCACCATCACCATCACCATCCCCCTCACAACCGCAAAATCCCACTCTCCCGATCCACCCCACCCCGAAAGTGATCCGCCAGCACCCTCCCGCCCAGAATCGTCTCCTCCACCACGCCCTGCACATGCCGGGGCTCAATGCGCCCATACCAGATCCCCTTCCCGGCCAGCGGATGCAGCACCGCCGAAGCTGAGTCCTCCCCGACCACCGTCATCCCCGGCGGGATATACACGATGACGTTTCCAGCGTACTTGTGCCCGCCGATGTGACTGATCAGCCCGACATGCGCCCGGTCCGGGCGATCAATCCTCGCCGCGTTGTCGCCGTCGCCGTCGCCGTCCGCAGCGGCGAACCCTTTCTCGCGCAGCACGCGCTGGAACTCCGTCTCCAGGACGGGCGCCATCACGCCGCAGCGCATGTCGCGCCCGCCGTGCCCGCAGATGAGGACCACGGGCGAGTGCCGGAGGTCGATGGCCTCGGGGAGGGCGGACGCTAGTTCCGGGCGGCGGCTGGGGCCGCCGTGTCGCGCTTTGGTGGGGAGGAGATGGGCTTGGACGAAGGTTGAGAGGTCTGTGTTCTCTGTGTTCTCCGCGGATGGTTGAGTGGGGATGGAAGGGAAGTATTTGAAGCTGGGGAAGAGGAAGGCGGAGGCTGCTGCTTGGGACGAGGACGAGGCTGGTGACGTTTGCGAGGACGGCGCGAACGAGGAATTCGTGATGAGGATATTATGGTAGGGCTGTTCGAGGCGATGTAGATGTCAGTGGCTATTTCTGGTGGAATTGTAGCGCTAGGGCGTGCGGATTCGCTGTTGTACAGCGGTGACAGGGCAGGGTAACAAACTTACGTCGGCGAATCGCCCGCCGCGTCCGAGTAGACCCTTCAGACCCCGCACGAGATCCCCCCAGCTGTGTCCCTCACCATCATCCTCTATGCGGCTCGTCCAGTCCCTCTGACCGGTGCACACAAGAAGCTGCTCCGCGTAGGCCGCCATTGTGCCATTGAGAGCCTGGTCGTGGTCAATCGGCGCGGGCAGATCCGGGGTGGGAGGACATGAGCAGCTGGGCTCCGGGCACGACTTGGTCACTGGGAATGGCGGGGGGATGTGAAGGGGAATGCGCCCATGTCGGGATTGTACTGTAGCCGACGACGTGAAGAGGCGCGCGCTGGTTGCGAGCGTTGAGCTGGTCTTCTGGGTGAGTCTGGGAAACCGGCAGCTGAAGACTGCGAGGTCGATTATTTGTCGTGACCTTGCCATGTCCGCGGAGCCCTCGAAAGGGTCAGAATACAGGGGCTATCGAGGAGTGGATCAGGATGAGTCCAGCGAAGCGCTGTAGGGAGTCCTAGGTTCTGTAAGTGAGAGAAAACTTGAGTCGAATTATCGCTGCATGAATGCCAGAAACCCGCTCGGCATATTCGGAGACTTCGGAGATAACAATCGATGATGAATAATCCGGTAATGATGGCAGGTCCGCTCGCTCTTATCTTATCGGTCGATGAACCAGTCACCGGACTCAATGTTCCATGATACTATACGACTGAACTCAATAAGAAACCATAAATTGAATGAAGTCTATAGTACAGATTTAAACGAGCTAATGCTAAATATGGCAGATGAATGCAACCCAGCTGATAGTATATACAAGAACTTGCTTCAAAGCAGATGCCGATCGGCACAACCACACCACGATGATCTAATAATGACCTCGACATACCCACTATCTAGAGGGCGTATAAAACTCCACGTTTATGATGAAATGCACAGGTCTAGCCCATGATGCTATCCCACAGCCTTCTGCCCCACCCATCCTTGGGATTCGAGGTCTCCCAGTTGGTGAACTGCGGTCTGCCAGTGTCAAGATCCGCCTCAAGAGGACGGACAAACGAGGTGCGGTACCACGCCTTGTGTGCGATATACAAGACCACGAAGAGGACCGGGCAGATATAGGCAACCCAGAAGTCGGAAACGTTGAAGTGAGGAATCCAGGCAGTGAATCCCTGGGTGAAGGTAATGAGGAGGTTAAAGAACAATCCGTACCACGCCAGGTAAGGCTGGCCCCAGGACTTGTAAGGCAGGGTCTCGCGAGAGATGTCGCGAGCAGCCATCGCCTTCATGAAGGCGATGTGGCTGGCGTTGATGGACGTCCAGCAAATGAACCCAGCCACACTAGAGATGTTGACGAGCCAGTTGAACACAGTGGTTCCGGAGCTCGACACGTTCATGAATCCCAGAAGACCGAAGAGAGCGGTGAAAGCAACGCTGACGTATGGCACACCACGCTGCGTGACCCAGCCAAAGCAGGAGGGCGCGAAACCTTCCTGAGCCAATCCAAGAAGAACACGGCTACCACTGTACACATTGGAGTTGGCGGCAGAGAGAACGACCGTCAGAAGAACCGCATTGATCAGACTGGGAAGAACCTTGACACCAGCCAGATTGGCGGCGATAACCATGGGCGAGGCGGATGCGTTGCCGGCATCGCTAGCGAGATTGGGGTTGTCATAAGGCACCAACAGACCGATGAAGAAAATGGTCAAGACGAAGAAGATCAGAATGCGGATGAAGGTCTTGCGAATGGCAGAAGGGACAGTCTTCTGAGGGTTCTCGGTCTCACCAGCAGCAACACCGACAAGCTCGGTACCCTGGTAAGAGAAACCAGCCTGAATGAGCACCGCCCAGAAACCGACGAACTTCCCCACCGACAAATCAGAAGTGATCAAGTAGGGTGCAAAGGCGCCAGGGTTGTGCCAATACTTGAAGCCCAAGTAGCCCTGTCTGCCGACTCCGGCGTCAATGCAGATAGCGAAGATCATGAATCCCAACACAGTCAATACCTTGGTCAGCGAGAACCAGAACTCCAACTCGCCGTAAAACCCGACAGGAAGAAAATTGATTGCTGAGATGACAACCCAGAAAACTCCGATAAAGATAGCGACGGACAGGTTCTCGTCCCAGTATTTGACGATCATACCGGTAGCAGTCAGTTCGACGGCGTAGGTCGACGCCCAATTAAACCAATAAATCCAACCCATGGCGAAACCCAAGCTCGGATCGACGAGACGCGCGGCGTAGGAGGTAAAAGCACCGGGAACAGGGATATAGGTTGCCATCTCTCCCAGGGAGCACATGACGGAGTACACGATCGAACCGACAAAGGCGTATGCGATAAGGGCACCAGCCGGACCAGCCTCTGCCAGCGCTGTTCCACTGCTAATGAACAGACCAGTTCCAATGGTTCCTCCTATTCACCAATCAGTTCCGTAATGAACCTGTAGGAGGGGACGGGAAAACGAACCGATAGCGATCATCTGCAGATGACGGTTCTTCAAGTTGCGCTTCAGCTTGCCCTCGTCCTCGTGATCACTCTCAATATCCTTTCCATTTTCCTGCGCCGATCCGAAGCGGCGTCGCGACCGCAGCCCGCTGTTGCTGTCGGAGGAATTGGGGTCATCGACAACACTCTCGACGCCCAGCTTATTCGCGGGGGCGATGTTGTCCTGTTCGCCCATGTTGGCGGAGGGATCGAAAGACAGGTCCCGAGAGCAGAAATGCTACCGTATTGGAGTAGGTAGCGTGCCAACGACTTGGACCAGAGAGCTTGGGTTTGCAGAAAGTGTGCAGCGTCACAGTGACAGGCAAAGGCAAACGTCAGTAGGATGGGGGAGGAAGCTGGGTTAAGTGACAAATGTGGCTCTAGGCAGAGTTTTCTCCATTTTTCATTATCAAACAAAATCTGGGATGGGTGCTGCTGCCACTCGGAACCAGCGCGCATCTTGCAACCATTGGATCGGCTTTTCGTCATGTTCCATTCGGTGGGAAAGGCGGGAAAGGGAAAAAACGAGAGAATTTGCCCCACTCCCTCGGCGGGCTGGAGCTCACTATTATGTAAAGCTCTGGGCGAGGGGGGGCGACTGTCAGTTTCAGTTTCACATGGATGGAAGTCATATTTATTTACTGCGTAGAGAGATAGAAATTGGATCCTCGGTTGGCGCAATTATTTGCTCACGCACACGGGTCCCAAATGGTCGATGTAGGATTTAAGCTCGAATTAAGCATGGGAGTTCGTGATGAGTTCATACAGACCAAATGCTTATCGATTGGGATCACGTGGCTCATACTCGTAGTTCGACCGTTCGAGAAAATATCACGTGGTTGACACGCCCCGGCGGAACTCCGGTGGCGTTGTTTCCGACCGGCGCTAGAAGTCTGGATGGAATCAGAAGAACCTTCCACTTTTTGGTAGGCAAAACTGTATGTGGCAGTAGGCACTTTGGCACTAGCATTTGTCTTCTCATTAAGCTGCCATCGGCAGTGCGGGTCCATCAGGCGGTCCATCAGGCACCGGGAAATTTGGTACAGTGCATTAGGGCCACTCCTTCGCTTTGAGTTCAGGGCGCCGGGGCGGTTGCTGTGTGCTTCTCACATAAGAATAGCGAATTGCCCACATAATTGACTGGCAGGATGGCCCGTAAGGAATTCGACGAGCGCACTGTGTGACTTCTGTCCTACGGGACTGCGTATTCGCTTCTTCGATACACCCGTACACTCGCTTGAATCTCGGTATGGCTGGGACTTCCTGGTGAACCTGGGCTGTCCGGATAAAAAGCCCAGGAAAGTTTTTCTTAGCCGATTGTCATCACCAATGGATATGAGTCAGGACAATTGGCAATTGTTATCAGTTTGCCTCCCCCGGACTGCAAACTCTGCAAACGCTGCAAACAGACGAGTCACCGGCGTCGCTGCCCGCATCACGTGACATCATGTACATCACTTGAGTCATACACCGCCATCGACGATCGAGTTATATAGCCGGTCTGGATACTTGCTACAGCTCAATTCCAACACCGACACAGCTACATCAATCATGCCCGGCGCTTTCCGAATGACCGCTGCGCGGTGCAGCTCGGCCACCCGCCAGCTGCTGCAGCACCAAGCCTCGCAGACCCTGCCGCCGACCTCACCCTTCGCGCCGCGCCATCTGCTCTCGATCGCCGACCTGACGCCGACCGAGTTCGCGACGCTGGTGCGCAACGCCTCAGCCCACAAGCGCGCCATCAAGTCCGGCGCGATCCCGCAGAACCTGCTGGGCGCGCTGACGGGCCAGACGGTGGCGATGATGTTCAGCAAGCGGAGCACGCGGACGCGGATCTCGACCGAGGGCGCGGTGGTGCAGATGGGCGGCCACCCGATGTTTCTGGGCAAGGACGACATCCAGCTCGGGGTCAACGAGTCGCTGTACGACACCGCGGTGGTGGTCTCGTCGATGGTTTCGTGCATCGTCGCGCGCGTGGGCCCGCACGCCGACGTCGCCGGCCTCGCCCAGCACTCCTCCGTCCCCGTCATCAACGCCCTCTGCGACTCCTTCCACCCGCTGCAGGCCATCGCCGACTTCCAGACCCTCCACGAGACCTTCACCCCGAAGGCGCACCACCTCTCCAGCCTCGGCCTCGAGGGCCTCAAGATCGCCTGGATCGGCGACGCCAACAACGTCCTCTTCGACATGGCCATCAGCGCCGCCAAGATGGGCGTCGATCTCGCCGTCGCCACCCCCAAGGGCTACGAGATCCCCGCCCCGATGCTGGAGCTCATCCAGCAGGCCGGCCAGAACGTCCAGAACCCGGGCAAGCTCATCCAGACGAATATCCCCGAGGAGGCGGTCAAGGGCGCCGACGTGCTGGTCACGGATACCTGGGTCTCGATGGGCCAGGAGGCCGAGGCCCGCAAGCGCCTCCAGGACTTCGCCGGCTTCCAGATCACCCCCGAGCTGGCCAAGCGCGGCGGCGCCAACGAGGGCTGGAAGTTCATGCACTGCCTGCCCCGTCACCCCGAGGAGGTCAGCGATGAGGTCTTCTACAGCAAACGCTCCTTGGTCTTCCCCGAGGCCGAGAACCGTCTGTGGGCTGCCATCTCCGCCTTGGAAGGGTTCGTCGTGAACAAGGGCAAGATCGAGTAGATGGGGAAATCTGGGATCGTGTACTTTTGAACCAAAAAAAGCTCCTGTTTCTGTTTTAATGAGCGTGTATAAGCACTTTGTCCGGTGGAGTATGTTGAGGTGGGAGGGGGGTGGTCTAAGCACTATTCCAATGAATTGCATGGACCCGAATTTGAGTCCTGAGGCTATTTCGATTTCATTCAAGTTTCATATAAGTGTGCAGTAATGGGGGGTTAGTGTCTATCGTTTGGTAGATCAGAGTATTCATGCATCCGTCACTTGAGAGAGCTGTGCATTACAGGCTTGAAACTCCCTTAAATTCAGACCTTCGTTTGATGCTCAACAACATCGGTATATCGTATCTCCAACCTGGGAGTATATGCGGGCTATGTAGAAGCTAATTACTCATCGGTGCTCGATCAACGCACTTATACAAAGCCATGCTTATAGAGGTTCACCCGTCACGCCTAATCTTTCGGTGAACCATCTTCCAGCACCAATTGGCCCCGTCTCACCGACCTTGACTTTCCCTCTGCATCCGCGCCTGCCAGCCATCCACATTACTCCGACGGATCCCCAGGGTCCTTCGCATCGTCGTTGGCGGTTGGTTCTGGACCATTGCCATTGTGGTCGTGTGGAACGTGCTGACGGGCCGAGATAGCTGGTCGGTACTTGCAGAATATGTATTCATACTGCCAGCTGATGTCGGCTGAACAGAAGTTTCGTGGCTGTTCTGGACTAGAGACTTGGGCATCCGCGAGAGGTCCGTGGGCTCGGCTAGCCACGTGTATGCATTCGGATGCGATGGTTCGAGGGCGGGTCGCGGTGGTTGCAGCCGCTGCACTTGCGGTCGATGCATGGTGTATGGTTTCGGAATCGATCCTTTCGCCGCGGCATTCGTCGGTCTCGTCTGAACTGGGGGTACAGACAACGTCCCTCTCTGGCCTGACACTGAGAGAGTTTTGGCACTAACCTCGACCCCCGTCGTAGTAGCTGGCGAGGAGGGCAGGCCTAGGAAGCCGGAAAGTGTCTTCTGGGAAGCGTCGGGCCTACGACCGGGACCACTGCCAATCGCCTTCCTTTTGGCACCGGGTTTTGCGGTGGCTGAATCCTCGACCACGGCATTGCTTGCCGCGATGTAATTTCGGGCTGATGAGAATCCTAGGGATGGAGTAGGAAGCCATGTGTCAGTTTCAGCAGTTTGCGGCTGGTCAAACCGCTTTCTCTTCGAGTACGGCCCCTCGACCATTGCTCTCCGAACACCATATTGAAGCGAAGGATCGACTTGCTCGTATCCTTCCTTCGTCCACCGGTCATCAAACAATGATGTAAGTGTGCTTTGGGCTTCTTGTATTGCTACTTCCTCCGGTTTAGGTCGATAGAGGATGTCTGCGATCCCATGAACGACATCGTCGCTGAAGACAGGGCCGACCAAGCGAAACCTATTGCCGACTACTTCCTCCGGAAGGAAATTGGACAATTTGGTCATCTCGCCTCCCTGCGACTGTTCGAGGGGCTGGCTCAAGTAGAGCAGTGCTTGCGCTCGGGTCATTGCTACGTAGAGAAGCCTCCGTTCTTCGTCGGAGTCTTCGGCGCGTGAGTGGGGGATGCTGCCATTGTACACGGCGGGAACAAAGACGACGGGCCATTCGAGTCCCTTTGCCGCATGGATGGTCGAGATCGTGACTTTCTCGTTTGAGACATCCGCTTCCGAGCCTTCCTCTTGCAGTGTGACCTCGCTGGACAGCGCCACATTCGCGAGAAACCGAGACAATGCTTCTTCCCCGGGGTGCGCCTGTTGCTGCTCAAGGCCCTCTATCACCGGGAGACTTTCGGTTTCGGGATTTTGGGCGTCTGAGCCAGATGTATCGTCTGCCTGTGTCAGCAGCTCCTCCACATTGGCCCACCGGTTTTCCTCATTAGATCCGTGCAAGGTTTTGAGATACTCTCGAAAATTTAGTTTCTTAATCACGTGGTCAAGGAGGATCCGTGGCGATGAACTATCAGTGGTGTCACTGAGCTTCTTCCGAGCAGATTCGATAATTCCAACAAATGTGCAAAGGCCCTGATTAGTGAGCTTTGAAAGAGTGCAATCGGCTGACCGGTGGCCTTGCGCGACACCCTTGATATAGTCCCAGAGTGGCAATTTCGCTTTCTCGGCGCCGGTGGTGAGCGCCTTGATTGTCTCTTCTCCGATTCTTCTAGACGGCGTATTGATGACACGGGTAAGGGCTTCACTGTTCTGCGGATGACTGATGACCCGGAGGTAGTCCAGAAGCAGCTTGATCTCGACTCGGTCAAAGAATTTCGAGCCTCCAACCATCCGGTACGGAATTCCATTTTTTCCCATTGCTGACTCGATACGTCGAGAAAGAGCCGCCGTCCTAAGCAACACGGCAAAGTCGGAGTAATTGAGGAGCTTGCCTGTCGTCCCGATACAACGTTTAATCTCGAGCACGATCCATCGCGCCTCAGCTTCGGCATCTACCAGTTTCCGCAGCACAGGCATGGTTCCCACGCTGTGTGTTGGCTGCAGCTTCTTCGCTGGTCTGGAGGTGTCTTGCTCGATGACATCCTGTGCCGAATTCAGGATAGACCCAGACGACCGATAGTTGTTCTCTAGTAAGACAACGGATGTGTCGCGGTATAGTTTCTGCATGCGTGCCAAATTCTTGATCTCTGCGGAGCGGAACCCATAGATGCTTTGATCCGGGTCGCCGACGATGGTGATGCGCTTGTTCTGGGATGCAAAGAGATTCATGAGCTCATACTGAATGAGGTTGGTGTCCTGGAATTCGTCTACCAGGACGGCTTGGATATTCGAAACACATTTCGGATGCTGTCTCAGGAGGTCGGCGCATCGCACAAGCAGGTCGTCGTAGTCCAGCAGATTCGACTCCGCCAGGTGCCTTTCATACTCGCGGTAGACCTGGACGAAGTCCCATTGCTCCGTGGTCTTGTTCTTTGTCTGTATCCTTGCTGCAACCTCATCTGGACCGACTCCCTGAGCCTTTTGGCGAGAAATCCGTCCTCTAGCAGCTCCAGGCTCGATACTGACGCGCAGCCGCTTGATAATTTTCTGCCAATTGTCACAAGTCAATATAGCTTGACTATGAAGACGGTCGCGCAAAGATCAACAAGAAAGAGGCTTGACCCACTTTGATGATAGACGTACTGTCACCGGAGTCGGCGATCCCGAAGCCTTTCTTCAATCCGATCAAGTGGCCGTAGATTACGAGATACCGCCGGCAGATCGAATGGAAGGTTCCCAGGAGCAGTCTTTTCTGTAAGTCCTCACCAATCAACTTGGTCAGCCTCTCTCGCATCTCCCGGCTGGCTTTGATAGTGAATGTGCAACAGATGACATCTTGAGGGCGGTAATTGTGATGCGCCAGAAGGTACGCGACGCGCGCCGTCAGGGTCTTTGTCTTGCCCGAACCCGGTGGCGCGAGGACCTGCAAGATAGAAGCCGGGGATGTCACAGCAGTGGACTGGGAGGAATTGAGACCATCTAGGATACAGTCCATTGCTGATCACCCATGAGTTGCTGTATCATCGATAAGATAACGATTTGGGTATGATGAGGTAGATGTTGTTTTCTGGTGACGCGAAGAAAACGCGCTGTCATGTGACACATGCAGCTGGAAGATATCGTCACGTGAATCAACAACGCTCTCCATCTTGACGGTTTTGTTGTGTAGCCTCATCAAACCACTCTTGAAATATGGTCTAAGAAAATCAGAATGTGGCGGAGATGGTGTACTTGACCTGAAAGTATTTGACAAAACTCAAATTGTGAGGTTTTGCTTCCAGCTGTTGCGGGTTTCTATGACCTTCTGGCAAGTTCACAATTATATGTTTTGCGGATTCCAGGAATTCCTATTTTGACTTGATAAGGCTTCGCCAAGACTTTACCAAAGCTTCACTATACTCTCATTAAAAGGCATACGCCGAGACTAGTGTTGCACATCACAACAGGCCACGTCCCAGTAGGCTATCTTATAGTGGTTTTACTCGTCCAAACTCATCTTTGTAGAGCCACTTGGCTTATCAGATTAGATCATTAGATTAGATCTGCGACAGAATGTGTTCAGCAGAAAGGAGGACTGCCTAATTTATTTCCTGTTCTCCCTAAGTTCCATGCTTTATTCGAGTTGAAACGCCCCGCTGGGTTCTCCCTCCTTCATCCTTGACTAATGACAATCACGCTTGCTAAGTTCCTCAGCTCAATAGCCGCCGAGAGTGATTACTTATTTCATCTAGCCAAGCGGGTCTCGCCTTGACAGGCTGGAGTCAAGGCAAGCTTCATATTTACCCATCTCGCCTAGGCAGGGAGATATTGCTGTCATTACTCTGTTTTTTTAACGATCTTCTGGTACTTTTCCCGATGGAACAGATCGAATTTTCCTAATGCTTCCCGTACACCAGAAGCCCTTTTCATTTGAGAGCAGATTCCAGTGACTAGAATACCCAAGTGTTGATATTGTGTATACCTTCGTCTCTCGTAGTTACCATTATTCGGAAGTCCATTCCCTCTTTGATCTCAATTCAGATTGTGACGGTACAATGGAAACAACATAGTCCACAACCTTACATGACTCGAACTAGCCCGAACAACAGTAATCCAGGTTCACTGTGCTGTAGCTTTAGCCGAGGCAGCACAGATACTTCCGAGGGTTTCGAGCGCAAGGCCTACTTCTCGAGACGTACATTTACCAGATGGCCTGTCAGGCATGATCCAGATGGATAATTCCGAGAATTCTACCAGGATCGCAGACTGCAGTCGGCAAGGTAACCAAGATAGGCAAAATCGGGTGACGCCGTCCATCAGCCTAGTATAATCCTTGCATGTATGGAGTTTGACTGGAATGAGAGACTTTTCCTTTGGCCTACAGTTGCAACTATTTGATCCACGTTTTGTTCTGCATGGTGGCCTGTGCGGTTGCATTGCATATGAGACAGCTATGCCTGCGTCTCGGGACATAATGGCATGTGGTGACTTTTCGTTTGAACTGTAATGAAATGGTATTACTTGTTTTGTCATATCCTGTCTGATAATCTGAATACATGGTTTGGTTGTAATGACCTCTTATCAATTTAGTTCAGTCACTCATGAGCAACGTCTGCAGGCATGGCATACATGACATGAGGGCTGGATACGTGGGATATTTCTCGGGACATCTCTCTGGATAGTAAGTCTTTTGGGTAATGGGCAGTAATTTAATACTTGCCCCAGCTTCTGTTTGTGCTATAAGCAGGGGTGCCCCTAGTATTGGGGCGAAGTATGAAGCAGCCTGTACGATACAGGTGACGTACTGTACTGCCAATCTGACAGATTACAGTCATAATGTAACCTTGGTTCTGCTGTACCGAGCGTTATCTGATCCGGTAAATTACATACCAGGGGTTTGATACGGCAGTGTCGAGGAGGGGTAAACCTTGGAAGCCATGGCCCAGCCGGGAGGGGGTACTTGATCTATTTTTCTTTCCATCTTTTCTCTTCCCCCTCATCAATCACCCAGTCTCCTGCTATCTCCGACATCATTCCGATACTTCTTCTAGGCACTTCGGGCAAGAACGTCAAAGGTGGAGTCGGGTCAGGTTCTGGGTCTTCCCGGGTTGCCTCTCTTCCTGCAAACCGCACATCTGCAGAATTCAGTCCGACGACCGATGTGGGGATGCGACTGGGTTTAATATCATCTCGGTCCAATGGTGGACTGGCCACTCCAGTCCGCAGCCAAGAATCGCTCGAGTCCAAAGATCCATTCGTCGGCGACGAGGCGTTCACGACGCCCCATTGGAGTGATAATGCAAAGTGGATTCCGCGACCGGTTTGAGACAATGATGAAATTGAAGCCCCTCTCTTCTCCCCCGGGCTTGACCGGATAGATTTTTTCTAATCTGATAAGATCCCAGGACCCCCGGCGGCTGGCTCCTTTGTTTGTGTCTTGCCCTGTCCGTTAGTTTCCTCATCCATCACTTTCCGTCACAATGGCTACCGTACGGCGCCTCCAGCAGACTTTGTCTCACTTCCAGTCCCCTCGGACGACTCAGCAACTCTCAATCGTGCAGGGTCCCACAGAGCCGGCTTTGCTCGATATCACTTTGGGTGAGCTGCTGACGCTCCAGAGCCTTCACTATGGCGACTACGAATGCTTGGTCTTTCCCTGGACGGGAGCTCGCTGGACGTATACCAACCTGAACGATGAGGCGGACCGGCTGGCTCGGGGCCTGCTGGCGATGGGAATCCAGAAGGGCGACCGTATCGGTATCATGGCCGGCAATTGCGAGCAGTACATCGCAGTCTTCTTCGCCGCGGCGCGCGTCGGAGCCATCCTGGTGGTGTTGAACAATACGTACACTCCTTCCGAGCTCTACTATGCTCTTGATCATACAGGTTCGTTGCTATCCGCTTGCTTAATTGACAGCAGCAATGGCTGACTTAAGCCCTGTCTTCCTTCAGACGTTCGTGTGTTGTTTATGACCCCTCGTATTGGCCGTCACTCCCTGGAAGAGGTTTTGGAAAAGATGGGTCCCAAGCCCAAGCAAGCCGGCAACTCCGTCGCACTGGAGGAGATTGTCATTCTGCGGGGAGAGTACCAAAACTTCAGCACTTACAACGACGTGATACACCGCGGATCATCGCTCCCCAGCTCCGCCTTACCCAACCGCGAAATGGAATTGAGCCCCGCCGATGTCTGCAATCTCCAATTCACCAGTGGCTCGACGGGAAACCCCAAGGCTGCTATGCTCACACATCAGTAAGTATTCAAAGCTAGATGGGGGTGATGCAAGACATGCACACTCACCTACATCAATCTGCTGGCGAGCATCTTGACTGACCGAAGCTGCGTCTGATAGTAACCTCGTCAACAACTCGCGCTTCATCGGCGACCGTATGGACCTGACCTCCTTCGACGTCCTCTGCTGCCCCCCGCCTCTGTTCCACTGCTTCGGCCTGGTTCTGGGCATGCTGGCTGTTGTGACCCATGGATCCAAGATCGTCTTCCCCAGCGAAACCTTTGACCCTAAGGCTGTTCTCCACGCCATCTCCGACGAGAAGTGCACCGCGTTGCACGGAGTCCCCACGATGTTCGAGGCTATCCTGGCCCTCCCCAAGCCCCCCGAATTCGACACCCGCAATCTCCGCACTGGAATCATTGCTGGAGCACCAGTCCCTCGGCCCCTGATGAAGCGACTCTTTGAGGAGCTGAACATGACACAGTACACCAGCAGCTACGGTAAGCGCTGAAGCTCTGGGAGATATCCAATTAGACAGTTGATTGATGTGTCTCCTACTCTGAACAGGTCTCACCGAAGCGTCTCCCACATGTTTCAACGCGCTCACCACGGATACCATCGAGACCCGACTGAAGACAGTAGGCAAGGTCATGCCTCATGCCCGGGCCAAGATCATCGATGCCGAAGGCAACATCGTCCCTGTTGGTCAGCGCGGGGAGCTCTGCATCGCCGGGTACCAGTTGACCAAGGGCTACTGGAACAACCCGGATAAGACGGCGGAGACTCTCACCACGGATGCGGAGGGCACGACCTGGTTGAAGACGGGCGACGAGGCCATCTTCACACCGGAAGGTTACTGCACGATCACCGGTCGCTTCAAGGACATTATCATCCGCGGTACGTGACCGACCCCCTCTTCGTCACTGTTACTATATCAGACCATCAAACGACTAATGTTGCGGGAACAGGCGGAGAGAACATCTACCCCCTCGAGATCGAGGAAAGGCTCGCCGCCCACCCGGCCATCGAGCTCGCCTCCGTCATCGGCGTCCCCGACCAGAAGTACGGCGAGGTGGTGGGCGCCTTCATCGCGATCGCCGCCGGCCACGAGGTCCAGCGGCCGTCGGTCGACGAGCTGCGCAACTGGACCCGCGAGACGCTTGGGTGGCACAAGGCCCCGCAGCACGTGTTTGTGTTCGGCGAGGAGGGCATCGACCGCACCGTCCCCGTAACGGGGAGCGGCAAGGTGCGCAAGGTCGACTTGCGCAAGGTCGCTGCTCAGGTGTTGGAGCAGCGCGGGCAAGCTACAGCTGCAGCTACGGCTTGAGTCTGGGGTGGGATAGATTTGGATTTTTGTTTCTGGTTTAAAATATGATAATACCCTTTTCTTTTCTTTATAAAATGTCTTCAGTAGAATTGTCTTATGCCTAGTGAATTATTGTCAGTGTTCGGGAAACGCTATACAGCGAAGCTTGAAGAACATTGTAAAAGTGAAAGACTTGTTCGAAAACAACAGCGTCATCGAGCACCCAAGAGGAAGATTCCAACCTCGGAACCCAAACGGATCAGATGTGGTGTCACTCCATCTGATCTGATTAGATGATATGATCATCTAATCTGATTGGATAAAAGTCCGCGCCCCGTGGTCGACCCGGCAGACGGTGGGCATCCACTCCCACAACCATGGCCCTGCCTGCCCGCGCTGCCATGCGCCGCCAGAACACAGAAGAAAAATGCACAAAAAAGACCCGAGGAAAAAGGGATCCACTTCTCGGCAGCCTCGCACGGCAAGAGTTTTGTCACTTCTACCACTCGAGAACTCCCCTGGAGAGTAAAACCAATCATCCCCATCGCCCGTTTCTTCGCAGCTACATAGAATCTCATCCAGAGAGTTAGCCAATTCCCGCCGGGTAAAAGGCATTGGTGCAGTGACGGGCTACAGCGGTTAAGGATTAATCAATCCACTTGCGCGTTGGATGGAGTGGGGGGAGAATAGAGGGGAAAAGAGGGAAGGAAGGGTGGCTGGCACGATAGTGAGTCAATTTCGTAGGATTTCTTGTCCATGGGTGTGTGTGTGTGGGCGTGCTCTTGTGGGCAGTGAGTGGCTTCTTTTTTCTTTCTGGGTGGGTGGATATTTTGGGAGGCCGTTTGGGCTAGTTTTGTTACTGGTGGGGATTGCGCTGGGTCTGAGTATTGTATTGTATATACAACACTGGTGAGATTGTATGTATGTATCTGTATTGAGGTTCAAGGAAGGGTAATTGTGCACTGTAATGCACGTTCTGTATTGATGATACGTGCAGGATATAGTATGAGACTGCTTACAGTCTATAAATAAGCGGACTGGCTCTGCTTTGGATACTGTACAATGCAGTGCAATCCCTGGATGAGATTGAAAGATATCCACCTTTTGCATTGTAGACAGGCTTAGCTTGACTTGACTTAGTTTCATCAACAATAGGTCTAGTATTGTCGGCCAATTCAAAACTAGTAATACCCTAAGCTAGATTACCCTTTCAAGGAACACATAAGTTACTTCTAAGTTATCGTCCAGTCTACCGATCCATCTTCCATCTTTATTCCTCATTGAACACCAGAACCACACTGCATAATCTTATCCAGTCACAACTTACATAATACCACCTCCCAGCTCGACCACATCAAGAAGCAGTAGAATACGCCGCCCCTTGCATAGAACCCAACCCATACAACCACTCATCCGATGCGCACCCGACCCGAGAAACCCGGCCTCTCTCCTTCTTCCGCTCACATAGCCATACTAATTCTAACCATAGCCAAAACTCCACCCGATTTCAACAATCATCCGATATGGTGTAGTGGCTAACATCGCCGTCTCTCACACGGCAGCCGGGGGTTCGATTCCCCCTATCGGAGTTCGATTTTTTGGTGTGCTTCGCTTTTGCCCGCGACTCGCCTGGCGAGGATGGAGATCTTATTCTTATCTATCCTAATGGAAATTAGAGTTTTGAGGAGTGATGCAGCATTCCTCGGCAGGTGGTTCCGGCCACGGGCCGTGGTCGCGCCTTCCCTTTTCGTGTCGTGGTGCGTCGCCGGACCGGCACCACGTTTGTACAGTACCTTGTTTGCTTGGGCTTGGGGCTTGGGTCTGGGTTGAAGATCTTGAGGACTTGGGTTGAACTTCGTGATCTCTAGCCAATCAAGGGTGGTTTGGTTGATCCCACCCGCTGGATTATACGGGAATACTTAAATGGTACCGTACAGATCTTGCAGGTGCACGGTGGATGTTATCATCCATGCAACCCTGGTATACAATGACTTCTCAAAGCAACACTGTGTATGTGTAAAATCTACAAGGTCTATAATCACCACTACCAAAAAGCACATACAGCCTCCCGAGTCGGACTCCTCCCTAAACCCTAACCGTCTTCCCCGGCTCCAACTCAACAACCTCCGTCCTTCCCCCGGCAACAAACTCAACAGTGACCGACGCCATCGCCTCAACCTCCACCGGCCCATCCGTCCCCCAGCTCACCTTCACCTCCCCGGCAGGAGTCCACAACCACCCCTCCGCCCGCTCCACCAGCTCCCGCCGCGGCTCGATCCGGATCCTCGGAGCCCCCGCCAACCCCGGCGTCACGCCAAAGACCTGCGTGACCAGCTCGTTGACCGGACAGGCACTCCAGCCGTGACAGTCACTGCGCGCGTTGACGTCGTCCTCGGCCCAAGTCGTCAGATTCTCGGCCATCATGGCGCGCCACGGCTCGAGCAGGCGGTGGAACACCTCCGCGTAGACGCCGGCCTTCTCGGCGGCGCGGAAGACGTAGAACTTCATCGCGTAGGAGCACTGCGGGAGGAGGGGGGACTCCTCAACGCACCGGCGCATGAGGCTCGTCGCTGCGTCGCCCGTGACGGTCTCCGATAGGATGGCGAAGATCTGCGTGTGTTGGCTGTATTGCTCCACGCCGGGGCCGTCTGTGTATAGCCCGTCCCGACCCTTGCAGTGCTGGTTCACGGCGCGGCGGAGGGCATCGGCGCGGGCGCGGTATTCGGTGGCGGTGTCGTTGCGTCCTGCAAAAATGCAGAGGTCGGCGGCGTGGAGGAGGGTCATTGCGTAGAGGAGGCTGTTGATGGTTGCGGCGCGGGCGCTGTGGGAGTGGTAGGCGGGCGGCATGCACGACTGGAAGATCTGGCCGGGCACGAACCATTCCTTGACCCAGTCGACGAAGGGCCAGGTGTTTGGCTCGAACTGGCCCACCAGCCCCCGGCTGTCGAGGCGTTGGTCGAAGTGGTTCAGGATGCTGTCGACTGTACCCAAGTACCGGCGGACGAGGGTCTGGTCGCCGAAGTACCGCATGTGGTCGTGCACCATCAGGATGAAGTAGAGGGAAAACTGCGGGATCTGCTTGAGCGGGAGGCCCGTGGGGTACTGGGCGATGATGAGGCCGTCGGCGGTGCGGCTGGCGTGGAACTCCTCCATGGTCTTCCGGGCTAAGCGGTCGTCCGGCGAGAGCTGGTAGTTGAAGAGCATCTGGAGCCGCGAGTCGGATGCGAACTGGTTCTGCTCGTAGAATGGACAGTCCTCGAAGGTTTCGTGGCGGCAGTTCTTGAGCGTGTGCAGACTTATGTCCCAAATCTTGGTGAGTTCGTCGCCTGCTTGGATCTTCGTCTTGATGTCCAGTGGGTACGATGTCTCTCGCAGGGATATCCGGTCCAGCGTCAAAGGCTGGTCGGCGGTGGTGATCTCGATCTGCACGTAGCGGAAACAGCGGAACCAGAATGGCTCGAACGAGTGCGTCTCCTGGCCAGCCGTGACAGTGTAATAGTCCCTAGGCCCGTAGAGCCGACCGCTGACGTCCGCGCGGTTGGCTTTGGTTCGTGGCATGGGGAAAGGAGCGGTGTCCACCCCGAGATCCTTCTCGTAGCACTCCGCATACAGCATTGTGATATGTGCGCCTGACCCTCCACTGAACGACAGGTTGATGAAAGCAGTCATGAGGCTGTCCACGGTCAAGTCGACCGTTGCGCTCTCACCCGCCGGTATAACTACAGGTTGACCACTGGATACGAGCGCCTGCCAGTCCTCCGCTGGAACTGCACCAGAAGACTTGGCGACTCCATCGAAACCGCACGGTATCTCCGGCAGCGGAGGGATCGGCCGCGGGCTAAGCTGCCAATGGCTCACGATGGGCATCATTTTGACCGCGTTGGACTGCACGACAGCAGACTCCCATGCAGAGTCATCGTATCCAGCGTCCTGCCAACCACGCAGGGCCGGATCCTCCTCGACACGCTCATTGTTCGCCATGAACGGCGGTCCCAGCAGGAAATTCCACTCCGCGTGCGGAACGATCTGCACAGACCTTTGCTCCCGGCATCTCCACGACACATCGCTGGAGATCGGGACATCCTATAAGCTCCTCACATCAGCAAAGTGTGCTTGTGGCCGTGCAGGAAAAAGCAACAGAAGCAACGCAGGCAACGGAACCCCCGCACAGCAACCAACCCACCTCATCCGTCGAATACAGCATGAATCCCGGCAACGGCGAGCTGACGATCGAGGAAGAGCCGGCCACGATACTCGAGTAGCGTAGGACCCGGGCACTGATCACATTCGCGCCGGCGACGAGGTACGGGCGAATGTCCACCGTCTCATAGTACCACTTGCCGGGATGCGATTTGCAGGGGCCGAAGCTCACGCTGCGCCCGTTGACGAACAGGCGATAGCGACTGTCGGCGGAGACGTGCACGAGGCATTCTTGGTCACTGCGAGCGGTTCCAGACCATTGATATGTTTTGCGGAAAAGAAAGTATCGTCCGGGCCGGTTGTCCTCTTCCAGGTAGTGCGGGACCCAGATCCATGGAGCGGACAGGGCCCAATTCGTGCTGGTCATTCCTGCTGGTGGTAGTGGTGTTGCACCTCAGAGGTTCTATACATGATTGTGAGGGAGAGGTGGGAGTTGGACAAGGATGGAAAGTTGATTGGATTTAAGGAACAGCCGTGGGGAGCTCGGATAACCCGCTCGGTCAACCATTACCCCGGATGATCCCCCCGCACTCGGCTATTCCGGCTTTCTGACCAGCCCTCAATTGGCGGGGTATGTACTGGGTTAGGTACTACTAGGTATAGTTTTGTGTGCAGAAGACTCTACGTAATGAGAGGCTGAGATCTATGTTCATGTTGCGCATTGTGCATTCTATGTCAAGCGTAATAATACATCTAAGCATCCGCTAAATCCAATCAATCTACCCCCCCTCCCCCCCCTCAGATGTGGTTTTATGTGGTTTTATACAAAAGTCTAACTCTTCGAGCTTCTAGACGGATCGCCAATCGTACCGGTTGTAGTCCTCCCGTACCGCCTCCCCTTCCGGAACCTCCGTCGGATCAGCTGGGGTGGACCTCTTGTTGTAGGTCTCCGGCGGCGCCCACAGCATGTTCCAAACCTTGGGACTACGCAAGGAGCTCTGCGACTGGAGCGGGCCGAAGCGGAAGGTGCCTTCCTGCTCTCCCGACGGCAGACGCATGTAGTAGCGCATGCTGTCTGGGATCTCCTCACGGAGATGGCTAACCATGATGAGGGCCTGCTCATCAGAGAGACCGCCGAAGCGAGACTCCGGGCCAAGCCCATTTTCAAGGAAGTCAATGCACTTGTCGCGTAGACCGATGGACATTCCGGAGAATGGCTCATCGAGAATGACGATATCAGGTCGATGAATCAGAGCGCGCAGGAAAAGAACAAGCCTCTGAATGTCGACAGGTAACTGCCCAAATGTGGCCGTGTCGGCCCATTCCATCTCAACGCCAGGGGGATGAAACTCCTTTCTGAAGTGGTGAGTTTTGTGTAACGGGAACATCTTGCCGGTGGTTGCCGTAATGACCCCTTTTCTGCGACCTGGAGTATTGCGTGGGAGCGCGAGGGCAGCGCCGAGTTCAGGCTTGAAATGCTCCAGGATGGCTTCCACGTCCAGATCGCGCTCAAAGTTCATCTTCGGCCGCGACAGAAAGGTCTCAGCAAAGCCGGATTCGATGGCTTCACGCAGGGTTAGCTGACGGGGAAAGAAAGCGTGGACTTCGGGCGAGGAGTGACCGATGCGCCGCTGAACCTCAAAGATGGAGATGCCCGGTTTGCCCTCTTCAGGGAGACGTGAGCGGCCGAAAAGACGGACGGGAAGCGCATAAGTCTGAGGATGGTCGGAGGTGATAAGCGAGAGCAGCGTCGTTTTGCCCGATCCGTTGGCGCCGAGGATGGCCCAGCGCTGGCCGCGACGCACCGTCCAGTGGAGACCCTCTTTCGACTCGCCGTCAACAGACTGCGACCATTTGCCCAGGACCGCCTTGTCTCCATACTGCACGCGAACCCCTTCCATTTCGATCAAGGGCTCGCCGCCCCGGGGCGGATGGAGCTTGGGTGGCGCGGAGCCTTCGGACAGAGAAGATGGCGCAAAGCCCCTCAAAAACTCCTGCATGTATTCTCGGGTCACGCTCAATGACGATTTCACTAAACCCCTATGGTAGCCTCCTTCGGTGTTTTTGTTCAGCTTCTTGTAGCTGTCCATGACATCCTTCTCATACGGTGGAAGGGCATGAATGAGATGCGTGCCGAAGCGGCGGGACTGAGCAAAGTATGACCATACAGTAGTCAATTGCTGTGCAAGTGTGCGACGCCCCGCGTATATCGCGGCGTGGCCGTCACCGAGTATGACAAGATGACTGATCCAGTCTGGCAACGGGTCTTGCGGGCGGAAGGCGAGAATCAACCGCGGTTCTGCTTTGCGGGCGAGGCGGCGGAGGAGTTCCGACATCCTTGTGGTGGATTCAGGATCAAGGCCCACTGGAGGCGATTTGTGAATCAGTGGGTGATTCGGCACCGGGGAACATGGGCCAGGAAGCAGACTTACTGAAAGGATCGTCAAGAAGTAGCACTTCCGGCTTGTGGAGCAGGGCTTTGGCGACCCGGGCTCGTCGCATTTGACCGTTGCTCAAGTTGGCCACCGGCATGTCCAGAAGCTCATCCAGCCGCAGATCGTCGATGACCCGGGCGAGCAGCTCCTCGTCATCAACGGTACCACCACGCTCCTCCGGGAGCGGGTTCAACGAGGTCTGGCCGCGGAGAAACTGGCGCACTGTCCAGTCCGTCTCCTCTCGCAGGCTCTCATACCGAGCACTCAGATAGGCGCCCCGCGTGCCCCCATTGGCTCCGGAGCCTTCCCCACTAAACCCAAGGTATCTGATCGCATTCTGTGGGAATCGCGCTCGGGGGTTGCGCCGGGCGATCTCATCGCTGAGAAGGTACGGGTAACTCCGCCCGTTAGGGGGGTCAGGTATGTATTTGCCGCCGAGGATCTCGAGGAACTGTGTCTTGTCAGAGCGCCCGACTATGGCCCAAGTCTGAGCTTCAAAATTGTCCTCCTCTAAAGGCTCGGTCGGCAGGGTAAAATCGACGCCTCGGAATATGGGGGCGTTTGTGCGTTGGGCTTTGTCTTGCGGCGTGGGAGCATTCTTGTAAAAGGTCGCGTTCTTGATAGAGATCAGCGGCGGAGAGAGAGAGGATGAGAAGCGGATCGATTGTGAGAGCGGTACTGACCGGAGAGGCCTTATTCTGCAGGCCCGCCGGAGCATGACGGTGCACGTATCAAAGAAACAATGCTGGAATTGAAGCAGAGTCAAGTCGATCTGAGCGCATGGTTGGATTTCGCCCTGATCGGCCGGTTTCGGTGGGGAGGAGAACTGCCGGTCCGCACGTGACGTCACGTGACGTCACGTTCATTGACTCGTGCCATTGCCTCAGGCCGCCACGCTTGGAATTGGCCCGTGCTGCCACTCAGGTATCACCAGATATTAATGTGTGAGATAGAAAATCATATCCGTACATTTTATGAAGGAAAAGATGTGATTCAATATTTACATGGAAGTTAAACCAAGTGAAGAGGAAGAAGAAGAAGATACAAAAAGACCAAAACCGAAGGCCAATGCGGGCTTAGCGCCGTTGTTCACCTCCCTGGACATTCTTCCAAGAACCCGCATAATGATGCGAGACCAGGTACGGGCCCTGGTCCTGGGGGTACCCGCCCTGCAGTGCTGCATATGCCGCCTGCGGCAAAACTAGCACGTCCCCGAGCAGTCTCGGCTCATGCAAGCTGGTGATATTGGACCGGTCCACCGTCTCGCCCAGCGTATGCGAGAGACTCCGGAGTAGCGCCACGGTGATGGCCTGCGGACCACTCGCGTCCACCACGTCGGGAATCATTTCCATCGTCACCCCGGAGAGCGAGACATTGTGCGATTGTGCGATCCCCTCCATTTGGTGCATCACATACTCGATCGCCGCCTCGAAGTGATTCAGCCTGGGTTTGGCCATCATCGTCCAACTGGCAAACTGCCATCCGTCAAACTCTAGTCCGACTACCACGTTGACCTGCTCCTTCACCCAGATGTTGCCGTCATCCTTGACAAATACGTCGGGAATCCATTCCGCGATAGGCGCCTCGCAAGTGACATCCAGGTCGCTCCAGATGCCCCCGTCGGCGTAGAGAATCAACAAGCGAAGGAGATCGGCGCGGATGATCGGAACCTGGATCTGTTGATAGAGATCTGCCACCTCGGGCCAGTCGTCCCGGAAGGTCTCTTCGACGTAGGCGAGAGCACCGTCGTCGGAAAGGATTTCGTGCCGGAGGGACGGGTTGAGCTCATGCCACGATTGGATATAGGTCTGGATGTCCGGAGAAACGCCTTTGGGACCTGACTTCTGCCACAGCTTCATAGGAAGGGCGGTTGAAGTTGGGGCGGGGATTAGAGTCGCTGCTGAGACCGGGAGTGTGGTCCAGGTGGGCTGAGTGGCGCTCGTTGGCTCAGGTGACGGAGTAGGAGTAGGTGATAAGAAGGCCTGTTGTTGCTGATCCTCTTCTTGTTGCCCTCGTTGCTGCTGTTGGGCCGGGGTTGTATTTACGGCAAATGTACTAGTGACCACAGGCTGGTGGAGGACGCGGTGGAAGAGATAGAAGTTGAGGAGAAGAAGTGTCGAAAGGGCCAACGTGACCGGGCGGCTGAGTGAGAGAATCATTCTGATCGATTATTTGTTGTCGTATAGGGCTTGAATTATATAGTGAATTGGTTCATTCCTTTTTGAGGCGTGCGGTCTGAAGCAGTAGTAGTAGCGAAAAGAAGTCTTGTCGGGTGATTGTGGCAGAGCGATAGTGGCGTCATAAAGATAGATGGTAAAGACTGACTGCACGGTTCATTGACCGATAGAGCAATAGACAAGAAAGCAAAGCTAACGAAAAGGTTCGACACAAGCAAAGAAATGGGCGATAGGAAGATTAGGGGATAAGGTGGGATGGGATGAGGTTCATCCCAATATAAAATGGGGGGGGGGGGGGAGAAGTGAAGTATTGAGTAAGTGACCACAAGAGAGCGAGGGCGACAACCTATAGTTATCTTTCATTCGGACATGACTGCATATGTAGTAAGATTAATGGACTCAGCCAGGGTTCGACTGGGTCGAAGGGTCGGGCTAATATCCTTTCTCCTTTTAATCTACTCGAGCAGATTGTGCTTAAATTCGCTTTAGCGTAAATTGGATTTGCCTCGCCCATTTCCTGATAGGGGCGGTTTGGGTGAAGGCGGGCGACAAGTGGAAAAGCAATTGCGGGCTAGTCGTTCCAAGTCGGCAAGATTTGCTCCCTGAGATGGGCCTGTCTTACTTGTTGTGGTGCTGAGTACCGTATAGGTAGTAGGGTGGTATTTCTTGTTTTCCACCAGAGTGGATCCTCATGGGTCTCAAGCAAATTGCTCGATCCGATGGGCAGATCCATTGGAACCTTTTCTTTCACTGGCCGGTGAGGAGTGAAGAGGGATTGAGAAGAGCCGATCGAGATTCCGAATCAGGGTCTGGCATGTTGGCAGCTTACAGGCTTAGGTAGTTACAAGTTACAAGTTACAGCGGAGGGACCCTGCTCGATCTCTGACATGCTAAGCATTTGATGGATGGAGCATGACGGGGTCTGAGTCGGACCAATTTGGCACGCCAGCCGGACAGGTTGGCCTGAGGCTAGACTAGTGGCGCTAGGAAGGAAGAAGAGGAAAAGGTCTCGGGAAAAAAGGGTCTGAGCCGGTTCCGGATGCTGTCGCATTTGCTGATTTGTGGGTGGGCATTTGGCTCTTTGAGTTCCGTGGATTTAGCGAATGTGACCTCGTATTTTTATTTTTATTTTATTTTTGTTTCTCCTAGGCTGATTGCTGCTGTCGTTGAGCGTGTGCTGCACTGCCGGGCAGTCAGTAAGTTACCTAGTCTAGTCTTGCTGACTTCTTCGTAGTGCCCACGTCTCGCGGTCTGGACAGTCCTCGGCCCTTGCAGAGCGGAGCGGCAATGGGCGGTTATTTTTAGTCACCCTTTAGTCACCGGAAACCCGAAGCTAAGTTATTGTACGTACAGTACACATAGAATTCGCATGTGCGGATGATAAATTGTGACTTATGTACTGAATTTGGTACACGATATGTGCACCTGTGGAACACAAAATAGGCCATCGTTGATAATTATCCTGGGGCCTCAGAAGAAGAACAAAGAGAAACGGATATTTGGGCATATAGCAGGCAAGGTGGGAGGCGCGATGGCTTCCATGCAAACAACGCAAACAGGTCACCATCAGAGAAAAAAAAAAAAAAAAAAAAAAAAAAAAAAAAAGAAAAAGCGCCCCGTACACACTGATAGAGATTGTCAATTATCCGCAATCGTTCACTGAGCTGAGCAGGTTTCAAAGAGCGAAAACAACGTTGCGCATAGGCCCTGAGATCCAGATGGAGGAGGGGTAAGACTCGGAGCCGCCCCATTGATTCGGCCCCCAGTCTGCCGAGGAAAGGGGCCGTTTGTGGGTGGAATGGATAAGAAAGTGCCAGGTACTGTGTCAAAGTCCGAGTAGATGCTAGAGTCCACACGCTCGGCAGTTTAATAATTGTGGCCGTGATAGGTTGATGCTCGGTGATGGTACATGCTCCCCGCATATTCCGAATCAGCATCGGCGTAGATCGTCTGCCGGCGATCCTCTTCGGGAAGGAGCTCCTTGACCTCCCATGTGTTGGGCTTGATTCCAACAGAGAACTCGAGGTCCTCTTTCGTGATATAGTCCCAGAACTGCATGCCGCCGTTAGTGATTCAGTCGGTCACAAAGAAATAGCCTGTGCCTACCTTGTACACCATCATGACCGCTAAGAGATTGCAAAGGGTTGCGAAGAAGAGTCCATCCATATAGTGCTGTACATTGTCGCAAATTGCATCGCTGAACGCATAGAGAAGGACCTGCCCGCAGATGAAAACCACAAGACCGAAAGCGATATGGCCCAACGGCCAGCGGTCCTCGAGGGTGTTGAGGACAAGCAGTAGCTGCATGACCAGGTAAATCACGATGAAGATGGCATTCACAAGGTACAGCACAACAAACATGCCGATGGTGTTAGTAGGACCGAGGCTGCCCCACGACTTGAAGGTCGCGAGGGAGACAAGGAAGGAGACGACAAACATGGCCGCCGAACTGAGTCGCACGAGCCAGACAGATAGAGTGGTGCCATCTTCATAGAGCTGGAACCCTACAAAGCCGTTGATGAGCAACGAGGTACAGAGTGCCGAGGCCAGGCCGTTTTGCACAGCAGTAAAGTAAGGAAACGAGCTACTTCCTGGGGGGGTCACGCCTGCATCCAGAATCAAAGAGCACATAGTCAAGAGCAGGTAGATGTAGAAGAAGGTCAAGATTTCCTTGCGGCCTGCATGCCATCATGGCACTTCGTTAGTGGATTTTACAATGCGACGGAGGGAATATACAACAGAGATGACAGGCTCATACCGACAGCAGTGAACTTCGACCGAATGTGCAAGATCATGATCACCGTCATACCAAGGGCGATAATATGGACAAAAGAAGCGGCGCCCTCAAAAATGATGGTATTGGCTAATTCGATGTTGCGCGCATAGCAGTTGGGAATGATGCCTGTTAAGCCGGATATCGAGGATGGAGGGCCCACCAAGGAGCACAGAGGCAATGGTGCCTTCTCACAAATTGAATCGAAGTCGCCGAACCCCATTTTGTCTTCGAAAAGTTCCTTGAACCAGAAGCGACGAGGAGGATAATGTCACCGGCGATCGCCTGGTCAGAAGAGGTTCGTTGTAAGGTAAATAAGATGGGCGGGCCCCCGACCCGGTCTCCACAACAACAGGTGTGACAAAGAGTTGGGCCTCGCACTGCTCCTATTACCGGGCAGCGCCTGGAAGATGCCACACAGCTGAGGGAAGAAGGAGAAGAAGGCAGTGAGAGGGAGATCCTAAAACGAATGTGAAGTGAATCGTGAAGACCCTGTCAGGGGTGTCGGGGAAGAACAGATGAACGCACACACGAGGGGTTCAGGGAGTGGGAAGATGAGCCGGGGACCCTCCAGGCTCTTCTTCTTTCCCCGTCTGGATTGCAATAGCGCAGCGCATCACGGGGTGAAAAAAAGGTGTGCTGCTATTTTAGGAATAGTGTGGAGTGTGGTGGCTGACACACCCAGCACGTGATTGCGGAGATACCCGCTATCAACGCCTGAGGTATCCGGCATCTCATGCTCTCCCGGGCCTGCGGTGGTGTGGACTTCCTTTTGTGTACAGTACCTTCATTTGTTTGTCTTGCCAACTACTGTACTCACAAAAGACTTGAAGGGCAATTCCCCTCCAGCTGCATTCACTTCCTGTCTGCTGACTGAGAGCTTTGTTTAGCTCAGAACAATGGATGACAAACGAAAGAATCAGGTCAAGCCTGATTATGTGCTTTGTTGTTTCGGTGAAAGAACAACCACGACAATGTCATTGTGGCTATCAACCAGATCATTTATGCTCAGATAGTATGCTCTCTTTCTTGTCACAGCAAGTCCCGAGAGACGATGCCAGGTGGAAGGTTGTCTGCGGAGATCCGCTTCTATCTGACCTGCACAATTGAAGCTCAACCCGAGTCCCTGACGGCCTCCGGTATACTTCGGCAGCCATGGACAAAGGGCCGAATATTATAAGTAACAATTGTTCGCATCTTCCCCTCTCGTTGACCACCTCGATAGTCTGTCATGACCCAATATACCAAAACTTATCGGAACAATTGACTTCAAACGCACATTGCGACTTATTTATTCATTTCGAAGACCCCGGAGTCCGTGACTCGTGTGACATCAAACATAGACTGATCTGTTCCTCTCTCCACGAAAGCCCCAAGAATTGACTAACCAATATACAAAATCAGAAGAAGACCTCGATATGTCGAACTACAACTACAACAACAACAACCGCAACAACAACCGGAACAACAACCGGAACAACAACAACCGGAACAACAATAACTGGAATAACAACAATAACAACAATACTAACAATCGCAACAACAACGATAACTGGAAAAATAACAACTGGAACAACAACAATAATAACAACAATAATAATCGCAACAGCAACAACAACAACAACTGGAACAATAACAACAATAACAACAACCACAACAATAACAATACCAAAAACAACAACAACAACAACCGTCTCTCTGTGCACGAACTCCAGCAGGACAAGGAGGTCCTCAACCATCTCCGCGACAGCAATGAGTCGCCTGAAGTTAAGGCGGAGTGGTTCTACCAGACACTCAACCAGAACAAGTCGCAGCTGACCCAGGAGGAGCAGCATGCGGTTGATCTCGACACGGAGAACAACCAACTCAAGAACCAGCTGCTAGCGCTGACCAATGCCCTGACCGAAACAGAGAAGCAATGGCGCCACAAAGAGCAGGCGTTGCGCCAAGAGCTCCAGGAGAGCAAGAAAAAGAGCAAACGGCACGAGAAGAACTTTATCAAGTCGAAAAGGGAGAACGCCAATCTGAAAGTGAGGACCGCGAAGCAAGAAGAGCTGTTTAATCAGGCCCGGGAGAGGTGTCGACAGATGGGCCAAAATTCCAAGCATCGTGATAAGAGCTTGAAAGACTTGCAGAACCAGCTTGTGCGATACAGCAAGGAAGCAGGAGAGGCGAAAAAGGAACTGCATGAAAGTCTGCAGAGAAACAGCTATAGTGACGCAAGCGTCGAATCGCTGAACGACAAGTTGGAGGAGGAGAATTCGTGTCTGAATGAGAAGCTCCGCCGTGCAGTTCGAATGGCAAGTGCCCAGGACGACGCCCTGTACCTGGTTGCGAAGGGCAAGTCAAAGGAAGAGATACAGAACAACAACAAAAAGAATGGCAAGAATAACAGCAAAAGAAATAGCCAACAAGACGACGAGATGGTTGATGTCCTGGATGAAACGAGCCAAAGTCAAGCCCTGCAGGGATTCAGCCAGCGATTAGCGGCCTTTTCTAACTACGCAAAAAACTCCTTCGGGTTTGATACAGCCCACAATCATGACATGGCGGAGTCGTCGGCGGACCCGCATAATGACCCCCAGCCTGGGGAGAAATGGTGGCACGCGGGGGAGCCAGAGACTGAGGAGGAGAAGAAAAAGAGAAAGAAGCGGGAGATCCCCGCGAGCATGGTTGCCCAGCTCTGGAACCAACCCCGTGAGAACATGCTGGTGGATCAGGGGTCCAGCGTGTGGGTGGAAGAGCCCCGGGTGCCGCTCTACCTGCCGCCGACCCCGACTGAGCCTCGATTCGAGGCGAGATCGCGTAAGCGGGGGTTCGCGGACTTCAATCTGGATGGCGAAGCCATGGCTCCGGACCCTATCCTGGAGATGGGCGACCGCCTCAAGCGCATGCGCATGGGCGACTTGGAATTCGACTTCGAGTGGCCGTCCCAGGCGCCGGAGAGCGGATTCATGGCCATCACGAAGATGCTGGACGACATGAACATCTCGCGGACCTATCTCGATGAGATCACCCCGGAGACGGCGCTCGAGCAGTTCCTGGTGGTCATCCAGACCGCGATGACGACGGAGATACAGCGGACGCCGACGATCGAGGAGCTCCTCGAGAAAGTGGTCTGGTACCTGAAGGAGGCCTCGGCCGTCAACTTCGGCCAGCTCCAGAGCCGGCTGCAGGACCAGAAAGCGCACCCAGCACCACCCCCACCGCCCTTGGTCCCCGAGGCGCGGGTCATCTCCGTCAAGCAGCCAACCGAGCAGGCGTCTACAGCCCCGACCAAGGTCCTCCCGCGCGAGAAGACCAAGTTCGTCGGCCCCAGCTACCTCCCGCCCACGCACAAGCCCACCATGCTCCGCAGCAGCTTCCCCACCACCGCCAAGGAATGGACGAAGCTGTCCGCCAACCAAGACTACCGGGAGGAGGCCGAGGTCAAGAAACCCGCCGACCCGTCTGAGTACGAGTATGTCCTCCAGCCCCACGAGGTGCGGGACTTCCGGAAGTTCAGCGGCGCGATCGACTTCGACCCGCCGAAGAAGCGCATCTGGCTGCGGCGGCTCGGCTACGTCGGGGGGTTCTGCGCCTTGGCCTACATCGCTCTGTGCCGATACAAGACGGCGCAGAATCCGGTCTCGCCCTGGATGGACTCCAATGAGGTGCCCCTGCAGCTCTTGCAGGTGTTGCGTAAGACCCACTTCGACGAGCGCGAGATCGTGCAGATCATGCGGTATGGTGCGGCGAAATTCGCGGATCTCAATCCGGGGATGCTGGGCTGAAACTATACGGTAAGCTAATGGGTGGGATATAGGCAAAGTGGTCAGAGGTGGTCGGCTGGATCACGCCGACCCTGACTCTTGGGCATGGGGATCTAAGTATGCGTAGCTCGTGATCTAGATAGACCTATACCGGCAGTAGCGGTGAGTATGGCCATGATGTTATGAGATCAGGTAATACGTACAGAACCTATTAGACGACCGAGCCCACCTCTGCAGACACAACGACTGCAGTGTGATGTAGATGGTATAGAACAGGCGTCGGATTTAGTGGGAAGGCCTCGGAAAGGGTAATATTAATCTTGATTAATTCGCTGCCTGAAGCTAGTATTTTCTTTCATGACAGAAGAATTGCAAATGTTCCCATAAGAGCCATCTTTCTTCCCAAGGAATCTATTTTCATACATCTAATCATAAACACATGTCGGCGATTCAAATCAATGAACAAGCGCATTAGAAAGATTATCTTTTTTTAGCATACTCCGGCTTCAACGTCCACTTGCCGCGTCGGCTGCGGCCCCCCTTCTCCAGAACGGCAATGGTGTTGAGCATCTCCTTAAACTCGGCGGTCTTCTGGGGCGTCGTGCAATGGTGGTTGAACTGATCGATCAGCATCTGCGTGTAGACCGAGCCGCCATGGGCGGTGATGAAATCGCGCAGCAGGGTGATGAAGTCGATTCCACTAGGCGCACCAGCAGCAGCAGCAGCCCGCGACGACGACAACGGGGCCGGGCTGTTCGTGTTGCTTCGCGAGGCGGGAGAAGGTCTCTGCGAGGCAGCAGTCGCAGAAGAGGAAAGATTGGCTAGGATGCTGGCGGACGAGGGGCCGGCGCCCGCCCGTCTCGCGCTGCTGCCGCCGACGCCTCTTGCAAAGGGGGAGGATATTCGCTCTTCGGGTCTGCCGGCCACGCCGAACTGGCCGGTCCAGGTGGGTGTGCCGATGGGGACGGAGCGGGCGGCTTCCCCGGCGCGCCGGAGCTCTTCCGCTGCTTCGGCGGCCACGCGCTTGGCTTCGGCCTCGATGATCTTGGGGTCGGCCCGGACGACGCGTTTGCCGTTCAGGATCTGGTCGTGCTCGAGGGCGGAGTGCACGCCGGAGCGCGCGAAGATCTTCTCCATGATGCGCGCTTCTTGGTTTGCATTGCTGGGCCCGCCGGCGGCGGTGGGGGGTTCGGACTCGTTTTGTGGTTGCTGCTGTTGTTGTTGCTGCTGCTCCTGTTCGCCCTGGTATTCTTCGATCGAGGCAACGCCCGCCGCTTTTCGGATGTCCCTCTTCTCGTCTTCGACGTCTGCGATGTTTGCAGCGGCTGTTGAGGCTGTGTTGTTGTTGTTGTTGTCGCCGTTCTTGAAGGTCGTGGCTGCTGTGTCTTTGAAGATCTTGCTGGTCTCGGTGGCCCCTTGGTTATCCTCGCCAAGGGAGAAGAGATCGTGCAAGTCGCTCATCTGGAAGGTCTGTCGTTGATTGGGGTCCTTCAGGATCTTATTCGTGAGAAACTGCTTGAAGATCTGGCGATGATAGATCTTTTCCTCGATGGTCCCGGCCGTCATCAGTCGATAGATCGTGACGTCCCGCTTCTGTCCGAGTCTCCACGCTCGCTCGCGGGCTTGCATATCTGTAGATGGGTTCCAGTCCGGATCGTAGATGATGACGCGATCCGCACCGGTGAGGTTCACACCCAGTCCGCCGACCTTGGTCGTAAGCAGGAATACGTGAAGGTCTGGGTCGTTGTTGAACTCATCGACCATCGTCTGCCGATGCTGGATCGGGGTGGTGCCATCCATTCGGCGGTAATTGAATCCAGACATCGCCCGCACGAATTTTTCCAAAATGTCTAACATGATTCGGTGTTGGCAGAAGAGTAACGTCTTGTGTCCAGTGTCCTTCCATAGTTCAAGCAGTGATTTTACGACCTGCATCTTGCCAGATCTGCTGCCGCTTCCGTAATCCTTTGCCGAAGACTGGAGTTTGTGGCTTGGTAGGTCGGGATGGTTGCAGATCTTTCGCAGGATATCAACGCCGTACAGGACTTGTCGGCGCTTGTTGAGGATAGCTTGCATCTCGGATGAGCCAAGGAATGCCTCGTATGCCTCTCGTTGCACCTTGGTCAGTTTACAGAAGAGAACCTGCTCGCTCTTCTTCGGAAGGTCTGAAGCCACGTCTATCTTGAAGCGTTGCAGAAGGTAGGGACTGATAGCGTCTTTCAGAGTCTCAGCACACTTGACGGCGGTTTGAACCTGCAGGTTCGATGCGTTTGCATAACCACCTTGACGTATCGGGAACTCGAATTGATTGCGAAAGTTCACCAAAGTTCCCAGCCGCATCGGGAAGACAAAGTCGAATAAAGACCAGAGCTCCGTGAGGTTATTCTGCATGGGGGTGCCTGAGAGAATGATCCGATGCGGCGTGCGAAGCTCTTTGCAGTGGATCGTGATCGAGGTATTTGGGTTGCGGATCTTGTGGCCTTCATCCAAAACAGCGCAACCCCACTCAATTGGTATGGCAAGAGAAGCGTAAGTCTGGAGACCTGAGTAGGTCGTTACTAGCACATGTCCTTCCTCGACCACGCGCTTGACGACTTTGCGCGCCGCTTTCAGACCGTTAGGCATACGTCGAGAAGTGGCAGCATTCCAGGCTTGGGACAGTAATGCGTCCTCCCTGCTACTTTCATTTCGAAGGTTGACCATCCCACTACCGGAGGTGTGTAAGATGGAAACGCGAAGAGGGGGCCACCAGCGGTGGAACTCGTTCACCCATTGCTTCATGACTGTTGCGGGGCACACGATGACCACGGGCCGAGTGAGCTGTTTGCTGTAATGCAGACCAGCGATGAACGCAATCACCTGAATGGTCTTGCCCAAACCCATCTCATCACCAATGATACCACCAACCTGCTGCTGTTGCAACTCCCACAGCCACTGTACTCCAGTCTTCTGATAGTCAAACAACAAGGCATGGATATCGCCAGGTATACGATATCCATTGTCATAATGCATATCAGGGACAGTTGGGTGAGGCTTGAACCACTCGTCCTGTTCCTGATCTTCGTCGGAAACCGGATCTTCGTTCATGACATCGTCACCATCTTCTCCTAAATGCTGGGTCTTACGTGCACGTTCTCTTGCCGCACTCCTGCGACTGACCCACGATTGTAGTCTTGTTTGATACACTGTCTCGTTGCCATCGTCCAGCCCGGTGAAGTCTTCAATATCTTCAGCAGACGTCTTCTTTTTCTTCTTCTGGGACATTGCTCGCTCTGACTGTCCTTCAGGAGCCCAGTCTTCTTCATCTTCGAGTTGTGACTCTTCACCGTCTGACACCACATAATTGAAGTCATCATCTTTCTCCGACTGAGTGCCATCGGGAGCTTCTGAGCTATAGCCCAAATCCTCCTGTTTCTCATGAATCTTCTTAGAAAACTGCTCATGCCCGACCTTTCTTCGCTTTGCACTTCGAATGTCCGCAGACACATCTGTGCTGTCAGGACCACTGGACACGTCGAAATCAAAACCGGGTTGCACCAGGTTCCGATGTGAGACTGCCGATCGAGCCTTGAAGCGCTCCAGGGCCTCTGCCTCATCATGCTCATCCTCGGCGTCAATGAGAGCGTCCTGCAGACTAGCAAGAGGACCATGGTCGGGGCCATGACTCATGTTCATGAAAGGGGTGATTTTCCCCGTGCGAATGAGGTAGTCCCTGCGAGACTCGTTCGGCAGCCGTCCGATTCTCGAGGCCTCGCCACCGCCCTCTTGCTCTCGACTTCTATCGACGATGCGCTGCTGGATATCTACCAGGTCATTGGCCAACGCCGTGTTGCGTGACTCGAGGGTCTGAAGTTCATTCTGCGCGCGAACCCTCCCCGCGGTCCCGATGGGCTGGGATAGCCGCTGGTGGAGTTTCAAGATCTGTGACTCGACCTTCCTGCGAGAACAAGAGTGAGCGCCGCTCTACGGAGAATAGCACGGAGGGGGGCCAGAGTTATCATACTGTTTCTCGCGGGTAGTCCGCTCCAGTCTCTTGTTGTCACGCTCATCGGCCTGTTCCAGGAGCAGCTTGTCTGCCTGCGCGTACGGTCAGTAAGTGGTGCGTCCAGAAGTGTATCGCATGTGGGGCCATGCTACTTGCCTGGCGGGCGATATCTCGCTCCAGATCATCCTGATCACGGACATCGGCCTGCAGCTCTTTCAAGCGGCTCGCCTCGTTGATCGCCACGGAGGGTTCGGAAGACTGTACAGGTGTGACAGCTGCATCAGACGGCTCCGTTGGCTTTTCTTCCACAGGGTCTCGGGCACTCGAGCCTTCCGCCTCGTGCTTGATACTTGTTTCGTCATCCATGAATGGATCGGCGGTTAATCATATCCCTTGAGGCCCAGGTTTGCTGCTTTTCCCTGCACGATTACAGCCTTCATGCGAGCAGGGGATCTCGCAGCCTTGCAGTAGTCTTGAAAGTTCAGCCCAGTGATCTGATTCAGGATGATGGTGGAGCCTTCAGGTGGGTTGCTGTAGAGCAACACACTGTGAGCGATGACCTAGGCGGTGATCGTTTGTGCCTGAGATCTCAGGTTACGGTTGCCTAGAAGTTTGGCTCTGATCACGTGCCTGTTGCCTGTGCAGTACGTCATTTCCATACTGACTTGGGTGCTTGTAGCACAGCAGATAGTGAATGCAAGTACACAAGTAGCTTAGACCATAAGAAGCATGGCTATAACTCATTCCCTTTTCAACTGTACCGGCAAGATTGCACGAGTATGATCACTGATAGACTAGCGGGTTGCCTGCATCTGCTGTGTAATTATGCTCATCCAGCTGCAGCTATCCTTATAGTGCTAGCCAAAGCGAAAAGAACTTCTTGAATCCTGTGGTGCTGGCCTCCCATGAACGATATCTTATTCTAGCTTTGAAAGCTCGGTTCCACAGCTGATAGCGGTCGGACCAAACAGCATGGCATTAGACCGCTTGCGCGTCCATCTCCTTGAACTAAGATAACGTAGCGGGGAACTTTTACACTATCGAACGATGGATCCCCTCGATTAGGGGCGACCTTCAGCATACATGTTCCTGTAGTTTAGTCTAGTCAACTCACCCAACGATCCACACCATCAAAAGCCTTCCCTGAGCAAGAACCAGCGACAACCCTTACACACAAACCACATTTCACGACTCCGTTGACCGATCGCAAATATCCTCTTCACAATGAAAGCAGCACTAGTGGTCGTCGACATGCAGGAGGACTTTTGTCCTCCCGTACGTTTCCTCCCTCCCCCCCCCAAGAAAAATCCCCGAATCCAATCTACGAAAAGTACGAGATAAGAAGGCTAACCCCGGGGGGAAAAATAGAACGGCTCCCTAGCCGTCGAAGGCGCGCGCGACCTCGCCCCAACCATCAACACGCTGCTCGCGCACCCGGGCTTCAGCTTCCGAGTCTCCTCGCAAGACTACCACCCAGCGGACCATATCTCCTTCGCCCCGAACCACCCGGCGCCCAACAACATCCCCTTCGAGTGTACCATCACGCTCACCAACCCGGCGCCGGGCAAGCACACCGAGACCAAACCCCAACGGCTGTGGCCGGTGCACTGCGTCGAGGACACGCCGGGGGCGGCGCTGATCCCGGAAATCGACGCGGCGCGCATCGACCTGTTCGTCAAGAAGGGGATGGACGCGCGGGTGGAGATGTACTCGGTGTTCGCCGACGCGTTCGGGAACCGCAACAGCCTTGAGCTGAACCGGCGGTCGGTGGATTGCGATCTGGAGGCCGAGCTGCGGGCTCGGGGGGTTACGGCGGTGTTCTCGGTGGGTGTCGCCGGGGATTACTGCGTCAAGTGCACGGCGATCGATGCGGCGAGGGCCGGGTTCCGGAGTTATTTCGTGGAGGATGCGACGCGGTGCGTGGATCCGGGGGTCGGGTGGGAGGAGGCGAGGCGGGAGTTGCTCGAGGCGGGGGTCGTGATCGTGAGGTCGGATGGGCCTGAGATTGCGGGTTTGGTCGGTTGATTCGATGTGTCTCTCTGTGTGTATGGTATTAGTTAGACGGAGGGGGGGAAGGGGGGCGTTTCAGGGGGTAGTGAGTTGATTGGGAATCGTAGGAAGGCGGATGGATGGATTGGTGACTGGGCTGGCGCTAAAAGAGCCCCCCGAGGGCCCGAATGCTTGGGATTGTCCTTGCCAAGGGAAAACTGTTATTTTGTGGGGAACAATGAACTTGGCACGTCATTTCTACCACTACCATTTGAGTGAGGTTATTAGTATACTAACTAATGTTTTGGGCGATCATTGAAGCTGGCCAAATTCGGACCTGTTCCGTCATACCGTGTGCAGCCTGTAGGGGAGAATTGTCCAGGCCCAATCATCGAAATGCTATCACGCACAGTGTCCTGTAAAGTTACAGTGAGTAGCTTACATGTCTGATGGCAGCCTCTGTACTCCGGATGCGGGCGATGATCTTCACGGCCCGGGGGAAGCAGAACCATCGACCAGAAACTCTGAGTGTGTCGTTGACGAACATTTTTACCTATTGTCGAGCCAGACTTATATTCATGCTAGAGAAATATGGCATCCAAGTGACACACCGTATGGTTTTCACTAAGCCGGATAGACAAGAAACACTCCTGAATGAGCAACCCACTCTACCTACCCCTAACAAAGGAGGTGACAATAACTTATACACTCCACTCTATCGGTAGACACAATATCGACGCCTCATTCAGGAATGCACAGCGAGTCAGGGTGTCGGCGTCTGCCTTGATTGACTGCCTCACCTACCTATGATTCCCATCACTGGCAGTTGCACTCTTCCCCTTCTCTTCTCAGCCCTGCACATCCATGCCTTTTCCAATGATCGCCATTAGTTGCCACTTCCGGACCCGCCGCAATCAATCCCCGTTAAGGTCATACCAACAGGGTCAGAATAAGGTTGACAGTCAAAGCTACGGGGGGTAAAACCGCACCTACACCTACACCTGTTAAATGACTTTCCCTCCTCCCTCCGCCCTCTCTCTCCCTTCTCACTTACCTGTCAAAGCTGTATATACAGGCTCGGCAGCTCCTTTTTCTGTGTCCAGGGTTCCTCCCTTTGTGCTCATTTCCAGCCACACATCCCAAATAAACATTTCCGCCCCAGAGGACCTCACTTTACCTTAATCCAGGGAATATGTCACCCACGGTCGCAGCAATGCCGACAGCAACAACGGCCTTCCCCCCGCGACAGAGACCGGGATACCTGACCGAGAAAGGCCGCCCCCTAGCCACCGTGACCGACTCTCCCACACCAATCATCCAGAAGCACAACGTCCCCCAAGACGAAGCCCCAGAAAAAAAAGCACCCCTGCCCTACTGGCTCACCAACATTCCGCGATCCCAATGGCCCCCCTCCTGCCCCAGCTACCTCCGCGACATCTCCCAAAAGAACATCGAGATCCTCTCGACCCCGGACCATCTCTACCAAAGACAAGGGTGGGACCTCGTCACAGAGCTCGTCCGTATGTGCGTTGCTATCGTTGAATCTCGTATCCACGACGCCGTAGCGTGTCATTGGCAGACAGACAACCGCTAACTTAAAAACCCCCGGTAATAATGGCAGGCACGAACCGAATCGACCGCTTCCAGCGCCTCCCCAGCGATCTCCGCCGGTACCTGGAGTGCAAGGCGCGGATCGTCGCCGAGTACGGGTCGATCATGCGCTTCGTCGTCAAGGAGCGATTGCGGTGGGGGGAAGGCTTGCAGAGTGATTTGCGCGCCAAGGGGAGGCCGTTTGAGTTCGATGGTTCGCCCCCCAACAAAGCCCAGCCCCCCCTTCCCCGACCAGTCAAAGCCCGTATAACCCGCTAACCTCCTGATCCAAAAACACAGAGGACCTCCGCATCCTATACAACGACTGGCCATACGGCCTGGAGCCGGATATCGTGCACCTGGTCGTGTGGACCAAGTTCCCGCTGGAGGACGATCCGGTCGTGGATGATTTGACGCCGCGCGCGCGGCGCGAGATCGACGGGTTCGTGCGGCGGACGTTCCATGCGAGGATGGCGCCGGAGCAGGTGAGATTTTCTTTTTTCTTTGCTGGGTTTTCGGCGGGAGCGACGGGGGGTGGGGCAAGGGAGCGCAATGTCTTGTTAACAATAAGATGCTTCAGGTGATCTGGTTCCGGAACTGGAGGTCGCTAAAGTCGGTCCATGCCGTCGAGCATTTCCATGTCATGTTGTATCGGCCCCCGGCCGCGTTTTTGGAGGAGATTACCCGCGGCGATTTGCCGGCGCACGTGATCGGGTAGCCTAGCTGGTCTGTGGAGGATTGAACGGATCGGAACCTGAGAAGCATGGCGCTGTCTGGCTTAGACTTGCTAGAGGAGGATTGGCGTTGGAAGATTACTTGCTGGTGTGATGAGCATACAAAGCTACTTTTTTTGAAACTACATTCGCCCTACATAGTACTATCTGTTATGGACTCATCGGCTCACAACCATAGAAACACTAGCACACTCAAGAACTATGCTACTGAATCACTCATCTTGAACAAAGAAAGTATTGAATTTATTTTAATGATTATCATGGTATATACTGCAGATTCTATCAGTTGGTTTGGCAGAGTCACCGCCTGCCAAGCGCAGGATGGAAGTTACGCAAGGTCAAATGTACTTTACAAGCTCCGCTAACACCCGTCATATCCAAGCTTCACGAGGAAATAGGATTAGACAGTCAGAGCTGAAACAAGGGAAAGAAGAATGGCCCCAAGGCGGGCTGATTGACCAGTAGAAGCCAAACACTCTACCACCCAAAGATGTCGCCAACGCTGAGTATGCTCCACCGCACACCGGCCACGGAGAACAAGATAAGGACAATGTCGACGACACTCAGCACAGCGGCGCCCATCATGAAGCGGGGGCTGAAGATCCGATACAACATGAGGTGACGGCGCAGATGGCCGGCCCACATCGTGGTTGCTACGTTGATGGTGGCGAAATACAGGATGTAGGTGCTCGCCGCCTGGATGGCGTCGGAGAGGATGCGGATCGCTGGGTTGCTCGCCTTGCTTGTCGACGTGGCTTCCTCGCTGAGTTGCAGAGGTCGCTTCCACAGGACGGTCAGGGGAACGGCGACCGCGGTGAGGATCTGGGGACCGAAGGTGTTGAGAACGACGAGGATCGGGGACCAAGGGTACTGCACCGAGGACAGCGGAATGAAAGCGGACTCCCACTGGATGCTGCTCAACGTGGCTTGGTGACCCGTCTTAAAATAGTAGAATGACCCTAGAACTGCCAAGATGATCGGTCCGATCGACGAGTTGGTAGTCACCAAGCCGTTGGTGTCGAGGATTTCGAGCAAGGAGAGGATCTGCCAGAGCAGCAGCCCCATCGCGCCCTGGCCCATGGGCTTCTGCATAAGGATGATACCCAGGCAGAAGTTGACGACCAAGAGGAAGTACCGTGTTCCGTAGACGTTGCCGAAACCCAAGATTGTGACGGTCGTTCTCCCCGCTGACGAGAACGAGGGTGTTTTTCCCTTGGCTTCAGGGTCGTTGTTGCCCTGGCTGACGTTGATGCTGATGCACGGCTTTGTGTAGATGAAAGCTGTCGTGCCTGCGACAAAAGCCAGAGCTAGGACAAGCTGAGCCAGGAAGACCCGGCTTGACTTCAATGTCTCCTTGCTCACGGGCAGCCACTCACCATCGTCAGCACCCTCGAGCACCCAGAAGACAGCAACCAAAAATAGCCCCAGTCGGAACGCAGACCCGATCCAGAGAGGGGCGGCACCTTGATACGATTTCGAACCTGCGTAAAAGGACTTCACAACAGTCGGGAGTACAAAGGCCAAGATCAGGGGGATGATGAGCTGCCAAGGGGCGGAGGTTGAAGACGTTGCCGAAGAATAGTAGGTTGAACGACAGAATGGCATTTGCTCTTCACGACACAGGCGAGACATAGATGCCACTCTTCCCAAGATGACGAAGAGAATGGAATGATAGACGCCCAAGACCCGGTCTGCAGTCAATTTCTGACGCATTGAAGATACACCAGCGAGAACACCAAAAGTCGAAAGGAGGAACAAGAGTATTTCATCTTCCCAGATAGTGTAAGAATTAGAAGCAAAGCCGACGGACTGTGCGACAGTGAAGACAATAGCAAGCCAGCCCCACAATGTCTTAGGCAGAGGCACTGTGAGTTGCTGGGGGCGGGAGAACAATGACCATGAAGCGCTGAGAATTCCTCCTGTGGCTGCAAATAAGACTGATTCCTCGATCAGCGGACCAGCGACCACGCCTATAAGCACGAGCAGAGCGCCACTGATGGCACCCACGCCAGTGCCTGCTCCAACTGAGGTAAGCAGAGCGTTATTGAGTACTGTCTGCCCCGTCCTGATTCCACGTGCATAAAACACCAGCAAGACGATTGCGGCAAGCAGAATAGCGATACCCTGGGCCATACTCCACTCGTCAAATTTGGCCCAGAGGCTGCGACAGACTTGGAGGGTGTTCCGCTGGTAGTGCCTATACGAGTCGTAGACCGGTCGCAACGTAGAGGGATTGGATTTGCCGACCCAGGGGATGTTCTGCCAGTCGTTCTCTGCTGCATTCCACAGCTCAATTGACTGAAGGCTGTTCCCTTCTTCCGCCCCGCGTACCGATGCATACTCTTGCTGATAGCGTTTGATCTGCGCCGAAGTCAGGCGGTTGACAGTCATTAGGTTCTTCCAGTTGTTGCCATTGGGCCCGACAAATGCTTCCTCAATAGGCGAACCAAGATTGTTGAAAGGGATGGGTATTCCGAGAAGAAGAGACAGCGTAGGCACAAGATCGACCTGCGGAATGAAGCGGTTGCTAGCTTGCGCGGGCGGCTTTACATTCTCTTCGCTAGTCCGTCCAAATATGCCCTTCTTCGAATACATCCACAATGCGGCATTTACTTCATCATCCGACTCGCCGCCGTGGTCGCCCTTTTGATCCATGCCGTGGTCGCCCATGACTACCAGAAGAGTTTTGTCGTCCAGCTTTGCCATCACATCGCGGATCAGCTTGTCCATTTGTTGAAGCTTCGCAGCCATTGCTGGGTGGTTGGGTCCGTAGCGGTGGCCCGCATGGTCGACTCCAAGATAGTGCCCGAAGACAACGTCCCATTTTGTGGCATTAGCAGGATGTAGAAGCGGAAGGAGATGCTCCGTCACGCCGTTGTCGACAGTATGCAGGTCCCAAACATTGAATGAATCATAAGGACGTGTCAGATTCGCATCGAAGTAGTCGGGGAAGAGTGACTGCCATGTATCATCACCCAACTGCACCAGAGTCTTCCCGGCCGCGCGAAGCTGAGCAATAATGTTATCCTCGTCAATGGCTGTTCCAGCAAAGTTGGACCCAGCATCAACAAAAGTTGGCAGTGTTCCGGTTGTCAGTCCTTTCAGCCGCTGTAGCGTGGTTGTTGGCGGGTCAGCAATGAACGGAAGCAAAAAGGCGTTTTCCGGTGTGTTCACGGCTGTCTCGTAGAGGACGGGAATGTTATTATAGAATAGGGGGTCTGATTCCGCGTCCACATCCGAGGTAAAAGGAACCGTGAAATCATACCTCAGGGCATCGATGATGAGAACGACGGCCTTGTCAAATGACTTCTTATGCCAACACCCGTCACTTTTCTTGACACTTGTATCGGCTAAGGGAAGCACATCGCATGAAGACTTATTTTCCAGCACCATGCGAGTTAACAAAAATCCTTTGGTGAAGAAGAATATCCCCACGACGTGCAGAAACCTATTGGTGGACGAGCATGAGCGGCGCAATTTCGCTAAGTAGCAAGGAGTTTGAGTCTGAAAGGTGTGGCTTACAGAAACCACACAAGCACTCCGAGAAGACCCAAGTGTTTCAATTTGAAGTCCCCTTCCAAGCCATTCAAAAAATTTTGCGCATTGTTGTTGGATACTTTTGGCACGGTTGTTTTGCGATCGGTGCGATCTGAGGCTCGCCCTGGGGAGCTTGTAGAAGCGGTTGCTGCGTTCTCCGTATGATGGCTCTCATGGCGAGAGCCTGCGTCGGTTGAGGACAGCATCACAGGATGCGATGCTTAGCTGTGATGGGGCGGGTGGGTGACAAACGTGAAGTCGGAGAGCGGGGTGTATGGCATCAGAACAGGGAGGTCAATGGCTCCTAAAACAAGAGTCTGGTTAGCTTTCTTTGGAGAGGTCTGCGTTGAGAAGCTCCAGAAGATCTTCAAGACTAACAGGAACTCATTGACACAAATAGGAGGTGATTGCTATTCCTATTTTTTTTCTCGCGATTGCGCTTCTCCCTGTCGCTTGACACTTCGACGAACGGATTGAGGGGAGCTCAGTACGGCGCAAGCATGATTCACGCAGTACGAATCGATCCGGTCAAGGTGATGGAGCTCTCAGGGGCGAAAATCGCGCAGTTGACGAGAAGGAGCGAAGCATTGGGTAAGGGGAAAGAAACCAGTGGACTCGATGCGCAACCCCCGTGACGTCGGGAAATCGGCGCTTTCGCTTTCGGCATCCCCTCCTTTCCTCCACCAATATTTCCGCCTTCATTGGCCGGAGCGGCTCGGAACATTCAAAGAACCCTGTGCGGTAGAAAGCGGGTCTGCCATGAGCCCACCAGGCCCGTTTCGGCCAGCCTCTTTTATTGCGCGCAATGATTCCACCAAGTTGTGAATGCACGCAGAACATACATAGGCCCAGTATGCAAATCAATTCCAGCTTGAGTTGAGGATCAGCTATCCTGTAGCTGATATATACAACACAACATTCAGGTAACAGATTGTCACAGAGAGCTGATCTATGCAATCGATATCAAGCCAACAATAGTTCTAGTTCTTAAAATATATGTTCGCAGTACGAATGCCACGACCAAGTGAAGCTAGTTTAGGTTGTTATCTTTAAAATTCGGACAACAATCTCATATCACCTTATCGTCTATCAGCAGTCGTTGTACATACAGTACAGTCGATATGTTAGTCTTACTCAAACTGCACGCGAGGCTGATTCGGACTAACACCCCACCCCTCGTATAAACTATTTGACCCCTCATTCTCCGCACTGTATATAGTCTGTGACTTCCTCTTCAATTGACAATGTAAGATTCCATTATTCACCATAAGACACTATGTCAGTTTCAGAGTCTTCAGTCAGGGGAGACTTCAGCAAAGTTCCGATCATTGACTTGACCAATTTGCGCAGTCCCGAGCTTGACAAACGACAAGCGCTAGCAAGAGACATCCATGATGCCTGTATGCACGTTGGGTTTTTCTATATCACGGTCGGATAGCTCAACAACTGTCTGTGCGATTGCCACTAATTCAGACCGACAGAATCATGGTATTCCCCAAGCGACTATCTCTGCAATTCACGATACAGCATGTCAGTTCTTTGCTCTCCCAGAGGACCGGAAATCACAATATTCCATAGCAAACTCCAAGGTCTCTCTGACTGGAACTTTCTGCAAGGATAAAACTTCTGACATATAGACCAGAAATTTCGCGGCTTCATGCCTCTGTATGCTGAGCAGATGACCGGACTTGAACTTCGACAGCCAGACTCTGATGTTGCCAGCACACCGGGAGCGTATTCCGAGTCCTTCGATGTAGGATATGAGCTTGCAGCAGATCCTCGACGAGAATCACATGATTCGCTCCCATCAGACGACTTTGATCTCTATGGCGACAACCAGTGGCCCTCTGAGGACGAATTGCCCGGCTTTCGAAAAACTTACATCGAGTATTTCGCCGAGGCACTGAGCCTATGTCGGTCCTTGATGCGAATCTTTGCTTTGGCACTTGACTTGTCAGAAGAGTTCTTCGATCCAATGATGGAATACCCAGGTGCGACATCCAGAATGCTACATTATCCTTCACAGTCGGTGGACGATACGTCCAGGATCGGTTTGGGTGCTCATACGGTAAGCTCATGGTTCCTCCAACGAGAATTGATCAGCATTCTTCTCCGTGCCTTTCAGAATATCTGATCGACAATGCAGGATTATGAGTGCATCACCATTCTTTCCCAGGACAAAGTGCCAGCCCTGCAAGTGCGTAACTCTAGCGAAGAGTGGATCACTGTTCAGCCCCTTCCAAACACGCTGGTGGTTAACATCGCGGATTGTTTGTCCATGTGGTAAGAACGAATTCGCATTTGCGAAGGGAAAGCAGAAGCTGAATAAGTACAGGACAAACCGAAAGTTTAAATCGACGGTACATCGGGTCATCAATATCACTGGCGAAGAACGATATACGATCCCTTTTTTCTTTGGAGTGGAATATAACACAACGGTATCAGTTCTGCCCAGCTGCGTGTCAGAAGACAACCCGGCATGTCAGAAGCCTTTCAAAGCGGGAGAGGTAAGTAATAATCTCATTGGACTTTGAGTTTTGCGATTGACATATTTCCATAGTGGGTGCGCCGTCAATTGGCGGCCTCGTATGTTGGATACGGCCAACAGCCGCCGGTTGAAAAACGTTGACCCTGAATATAAGCAACGAATTCAGGTAACGCACATCTTTCCCCAACAACCTTGATTACTTTGTTCTCTTCGATATCTTTCCTTGAAATGCGCGAGATTGTCAAGATATGACAATTGTCGACCTTACTATATGAACAGTCTCGAGCGATGGTGAATCACTATAAAAGCGGTCCATATAAAGTGACCGTTCAGAGATGTTAATATATGATTTACTTTTTATTAACAGCCTGAGGTATTCGAATCCATAAGATATTCTCACAGTTACCAATTGAAAGCAGTTGACGTACCATTCTGTCAAATCGTTTCGTCAAATTGACAGGATCGATGGTCTCCAAATGAATAGGGGTAGCCATGTGAAGACCTTTGACCCACTGATCCAATATGGTATGTTCGTCTCCATATTTTTTTTATCTATTGAAAGTAGAGCCCTTTGTTGTATTTCACAAAATAGAAGCCAACTTTCCACCACAGCTAGCAGCCTCACACATCAAATCGCTGATCTGAGCCCCTCGGGTGCTGCGGTTGTACTTAGTGGTGTGTTTCAAGGTCAATTCACATCATCATCACCGCATCAAGCAAGTCCAATGGGATGGCTGCTGATTATGACATTTTACCTTTGAGTAGGGCGGACATGGTTTCTGGTCACCTGGAGACTCTACCATGAGAACAAGAACCCAAGTCGAAGCGCATAGAATGCACCCGAGTCATAGATATTTAAACGTAAACGTGCGAAGTCAAGGGGACTGCGAGAAAATAGCAATAAATCAATTATGCAGTAGGTTACGACGTGGCTGGGTTTCGGGTGACGAATGCTGAATCTCATCTCCCGGTGGTCCCTCCCCAGAAAACAGTTCGAGTATACCACCATCCCCTCCCACCACCACACCACACCTCCGCTTCCCCAGAAATTGATCGCTCCTACTCATACTCAACAAATATCCACTTGATCTCAATCCTCAAAGCCAGTCATACTGTATAGCTCCTTTCTTCTCATGGATGCCATTTCCATCTTACGTATGGCGGCCACAGAAAACCTACTATTCTCGTGATGTCATTGACTTCTGCTCGTCCATGACGCATCGCACTCGTCGTGGACCGACAACAGCAATGCTCATGACACCACGACTACGCTGATTTCACGTGGCTCATGATCGGTCTGCCTGGAACTATACTCGAGCAACCTCATCTTGACCAGATTTACCACTGCGACAGACTTCGCGCCGGGCCTCCCGATCCACGGTTACCGTGCAGTCAATTTGTCCGTAACAATCCCCAAAGGACGTGGTGTTGAAAGGAAGACAATTATGATGTCAAGATTGCTCAGCACTCGAAATTCCGGGACTTCCTTAACATCATTGACCTCGATGGTGGTGCAAAGTTCATATAGTGCCTCGTAACCACACATGAGCTAAATGCAAACCATTCATGGCTATGCTGCCCCAGTTTCCTACTTTGTTGAATTGAATGCAGCATGGCTTCCAATAACGCAATGGAGCCAATTGCGGTGAACGGAGGCGTTACGTCGCTTCCAATCCTACGAGAGACAGTCAACACTGTCTCCGAAGAATGTCCCACACGCCTAGGTCTAACGGCGGAGGAAATCGAGAACAAAGCCCCGAGTCTCGATGTGTTCTTCGATACTATCGCGGCAGAGCGGCTTCGGCGCATGCCTGCAGACGGTAGTCGACTGGACGGGGTTCTCAGACGAGCTTCGCGTCTCGCGGTTGCTGTGGGTTCTTTGCGCGACGCAGTGTCCAGTTACATGGATGGCGCGGATGAAGCCACTGCGCTTGTCTGGGGGACAACGCTGCTTCTGCTTGAGGTATGAGATTCTTTCCACTCAATTGCAAGATATGTTCCAACTAGAAACTCAGATGGGCATCGATCAACTCGACGTAATTGAAGGCTTGTTCGGCCGCTATGGTCGCATCACTATGGGTATCTCGCTCTTGCTCCAGCAGGAAACCTACTTCCCTACATCCCGACCTCTGCAGCAACAGGTTGCCGAGATCTACGCTCATATCTTGCAACTTGTCGTCCACGTGGCTTGGGAATATCGCCAAGGAGCGAAGACTCAGCATTGGCAGTCGATGAACACCGCTATCGATTTGGCCTTCTTCCGCTACTTCAACCGCTTCGCTACTCACTGGCGTCGTGTATCTGAGCTTGTGCTGCAAGCAGGAACGGCTAAACATCAGACATCAGTCAATCTGTCGGTCATTTATCAATTCCTCGAGCTCCAAGATCGTCCGTTGCAGATGCTTCTTGAAGGCCAGAACCACTCCTTAGCGGACGGATCCTTCTCCTGGTTCGAGCCGCATCTGACTACCTTCGCTATGAGTCGTCGAAGTCTTATGATGATCCGAGGAAATCCCGGCTCAGGCAAAAGTGCACTCGCTCAATGGACTGTCGAGCGACTTCAGGCTTCCTCGGAGTATGATATCTGGAATGTCATTCCGGTTATCATCAGATCGGACGTACCAATCACAACGCTCACGCTGAGCATTCTCAAGGGAATTCTGATCCAGATCCTTGATCATTCAGTAACTAGCCGCAGGACTCAAGATGCCATCTTGACTGCTGTGACCGGCGCTATTGAGCTTGCAGTAGCTGGTGCAACTGACCCTCAAGTTGAAGGACAGCTTTGGACTGCCATCCGCGCTGCCGTGCAATCCAATTTGCACTTTATGTTGGTGGTTGATGGGTTCGACCAAATGAAGCACGCCGAGACAACTGTTAGCGCGTTTTTGGGGTTGCTGCAAGACACAGTGACCGATACTCCTTCCAAGTTGATCATTTTCAGCCGACCTATGTCTAAGGACATACTGCCAATCCGCGAAACCACGAAGACACACCAGGTTGCTATGAATGCCGCTACGATCCAGCATGATATGCAAGTCGCGGTTAGCGACATGATGACGGCGGATTCTTCGTTCTCTGGCCTCGAGCCG